GGTAATGATGGTAAGGCTGGAGTTGGGGTATTGGTTGCGGAGAAATTGGTAGACAAAGTAGTTGAAGTGAGAAGGCTAGACAACCAGATAATGGTTATCAAGATGATTTTTGGTAGAAAGCTATATAATATTATCTCGGCATATGTTCATCAGGTTGGAAGAAGGGAAGAAGAGAAAGATATATTTTGGGACAGTCTATTGGGGGTGACATTGAGACTGGCAAATGAAGAGGGGATTATCCTGGCTGGTGATCTGAATGGACATGTGGGAGTGAGTAGTGAGGGTTATGAAGGAGTACATGGAGGGTTCAGTTACGGCATAAGAAATTTGGAAGGAGAGATTTTAGAATTTAGTGATGCGATGGATATGATTGTCTGTAATACAATGTTTAAGAAAGAATCAGAGAAGCTGGTGACTTATAACGGGTAGTACCAAAAGTGCTGTGGATTACTTGTTATTAAGGAGATGTGATCGATGTATAAATGTGAAAGTGATACCGGGAGAGAAATGTATAAATCAGCATCGACTAGTTGTAGGAGATCTCACTCTTAAAGGTGCCAGGGTCACTAAAAGAAAGTTTGTCCCTAGGCTGAAGGTTTAGAAATTAAAGGAGGAGAATGCTAGACGTCAATTCAATATGGCATTAGCGATTAGGGAGGCGGAGGTGGCACAAGCATCTGGGGTGAATGACAAGTGGGAAGCCATGAAGAAAGCCTGGGTAATGACAACTGAGGAGGTATGTGGATGGACAAAAGGGCCGCCTAGACATAAGGAGACTTGGTGGTGGAGCCCGAAGGTAGCGAAAGCCGTGGATGAGAAACGGAGGTGTTTCAAAGTATGGTATAATAGCAAAGAAAATAGTGATAATGATATTTACAAGATGGCTAAAAGAAATGCTAAGAAATTAATAGCGAAGGCTCAAGAAGAAAAAAGACACGAGTTTGCTAAAGAAATGGAATGCGCTGATGGAATTGGAAATATGGTTCGAATGGCAAAACAGATGTCAAAAAAAAGGCAGGATGTGATAGGTGTAAAGTGTTTGAAAAATATGGAAGGAAAAATGACGATTGATAGTAGTGGTATTAAGAACACCTGGAAGATTACATGAAAGGACTTTTGAATGAAGAAAATGAATGGAATAATAATATTAGTTGTGCAAAGGTAGAAGATCCAGGGTGTAAATTTGGCAAGGACGAGATAAAGAGAGCAGTGAAAAAGATGAAGAAAGGGAAGGCATCGGGTTTAACGATGGTGGTATCAGAGATGTTTAAAGGTTCTGATGATTTAGGGATTGAATGGTTAATGAATTTAGCAAATCAGATTGTCACAGAAGGTACTATTCCCGAGGACTGGCGAAGAAGTATAATTATCCCAGTAAACAAGGGGAAAGGTGATATTTTAGATTGCGGGTCTTACAGAGCTATTAAACTCTTGGAACATGCAATGAAAGTATTTGAGAGAGTGTTAGAGAAGCGGTTAAGGGAACAAATTAAAATTGATGAAATGCAGTTTGGTTTTACATCGGGAAAAGGCACGACAGATGCAATTTTTGTGGTGAGACAAATTCAGGAGAAGTATCTTGCGAAGGAAAAGAAACTCTATTATGCGTTTGTTGTTTTGGAGAAAGCATTTGATAGGGTGCCGCGTGAGATTACTAGATGGGCCTTGAGAAAATCAGGTGTGGAGGAATGGTTGGTTACCGCAGTGATGGCAATGTATGTTGGAGCACAAACAGCAGTACGGACGGATTATGGTGATAGTGAGAGCTTTGAGGTGAAGGTAGGACTTCATCAAGGATCCGTGCTGAGTCCATTATTATTTATCTTAGTAATGGATGTGGTGGCTAGAGAAATCCGTGAAGGACTTCCCTGGGAGATATTATATGCAGATGACCTTGTAATAATGGCAAACAGTGAGGGAGAATTGAGGGATAAAGTTAGTAAATGGAAGATGACTATGGAAGCAAAGGGCCTGAAAATGAATGCATCAAAAACAAAGGTGATGATTGGTGGGGAAAATCTAAAGATGGAAGAATCCGGTAAGTGGCCTTGTGGTGTATGTGGGAAAGGAGTTGCTAGAAATTCTATCCAATGCACCAGATGCCAGAAATGGGTACATAAAAGATGTAGCGGGAAAAAAGGCAGTTTGATGTTAGAAAGAATGACCTTTATTTGTAAAACATGCATGAAAGGGATACATAATAATGATAACCTAAAAAATGGTGGTCTGGATATTGGCAATGGGTTAACCCTAGAAAAAGTGGATAAGTTTTGTTATTTAGGTGATATGCTAAACGCAGATGGTGGTGTAGATTCTGCCGTTGTTGAAAGGATCAGACAAGCTTGGAAGAAGTTCAGAGAGATGTCGTCTATTCTTACAAATAAAAAAGTTTCTCTGAAGTTAAAGGGGAAAGTTTACGTAAGCTGTGTGAGGAGTTGTTTAGTTTATGGTGGTGAAACATGGACAATGAAAGCAACTCACGAAGCCAAATTAGAAAGAACAGAGATGAGGATGGTTAGATGGATGTGTGGGGTATCTCTGAGAGAGAGAGAAACTAGCAAGGAATTGCGAGCAAGATTAGGTATAGAAATGATTGGTATGGTAATGCGACGAAATAGACTAAGATTGTTTGGGCATGTGGAACGTATGACAAGAGATGAGTGGGTAAAGAGATGCACAATGATGGAAGTAGGAGGATCAAGACCTAGAGGAAGATTCAAGATGACTTGGACAAATGTGATAGCGGCGGATATGAGATGCATGAATCTTACAAGTATTGATGCTCAGGACCGAATTTTATTTAAACATGTTAGCAATGCTTATTTTAGCCCATTTACGTCAAAAAAATTCGGAAAACTTTAAAAACAACAATTATGACAATTGTCACTTATCTATGGTACATCTTCACTAAAATTTTATTTAAACATGTTAGCAAAGCTTATTTTAGCCCATTTACGTCAAAAAAATTCGAAAAACTTTAAAAACAACTATTATGACAATTGTCACTTATCTATCGTACATCTTCACTTAAATTATATTTTAACATGTTAGCAATGCTTATTTTAGCCCATTTACGTCAAAAAAATTCGAAAAACTTTAAAAACAACGATTATGACAATTGTCACTTATCTAGGGTACATCTTCCCTTAAATTTTATTTTAACATGTTAGCAATGCTTATTTTAGCCCATTTACGTCAAAAAAATTCGAAAAACTTTAAAAACAACGATTATGACAATTGTCATTTATCTAGGGTACATTTCCACTAAAATATTATTTAAACATGTTAGCAATGCTTATTTTAGCCCATTTACGTCAAAAAAATTCGAAAAACTTTAAAAACAACGATTATGACAATTGTCACTTATCTAGGGTACATATTCACTAAAATTTTATTTAAACATGTTAGCAATTTTTATTTTAGCCCATTTACGTCAAAAAAATTCGAAAAACTTTAAAAACAACGATTATGACAATTGTCATCTAGGGTATATCTTCACTAAAGTTTTATTTAGACATGTTAGCAATGTTTATTTTAGCCTATTTACGTCAAAAAAATTTAAAAAACTTTAAAAACATTGATTATGACAATTGTCATTTATCTAGGGTACATCTACATTAAATTTTACCTGTTAAAGAAACATATTTTTGCCCATTAGCGTCACAAAAAAATCTTATATGTTCAAAAATATACCTACCTATTATGATAATTATCATTTTTCCAGGGAACATCTTCATTGAATTTATAATATAATATCTTTACAATATAAATTATATTATAACCCTTTTGTGTCCAAAAATTTCAAAAATCTTAAAAAATAACGCATATGACAATTGTCGCATTAAAAAAAAGTTTGACATAAATATTAATAATAATTTAGAAAAACCACCTCTTTTAATATACTTAAAATATAGATATATTTTAAAAAAATATTTAGAAAAAGAAAAACCACCTCTTTTAATATTCTTAAAATATAAATATATTTATTAAAAAAATATTTAGAAAAAGCCACCTCTAATAATAAACTTAAAATATAGATATATTTATAAAAATAATATAAAAAAACTATAGAAGATTTGATCTAAAAGATTATTTATTTATGATATAATTAAAAAAAGAATAAAATTTTATGATAAAACAAAAGAATAAAATTTCTTCAAAAATCAGCAAAATATGTTTCAAAAATATTTTTTGCTTAAAATTTTTAGCTCAAAAATATTAATTTTTTTTTATTTAAAAAAAAATCAAATAAATAAATCCATTTTTTTATAATCAAATCAAAACATATTATTTGAATTAAATAAAATATAAATAAAATAAATTATTTTACTAAAAATAAATAAATAAAATAAATTATTTTACTAAAAATAAATAAATAAAATTCTACATTATTATTTAAAATTTCTCAATAACATAAAAATAATTTTTGGCTCTAAATTTAAAATAAACTCAAGCTACCCTCTGAGCCCACTAAGTGAGCCGACTAAGCGAGCCGACTAAGTGAGCCGACTAAGCGAGCCGACTAAGTGAGCCGACTAAGTGAGCCGACTAAGCGAGCCGACTAAGTGAGCCGACTAAGCGAGCCGACTAAGTGAGCCGACTCATGCGGCTCCTTGATCGGCTTGAGTCGGAGCCGTTTTTTACGACTACGACTCGAGTCGCAAGTCGTAAGAACTCGACTTTTTAACAACACTAGGTTTGAGTTCGGTTTGGATTCCTGAATTATATGACTACTCTTTTCTGGAACTGCCATTTCAATTAATGTTATCTCAAAATAATTTAAAAAGATGAAGACTATGATAATTAAAGACATCAAAAAAATTTCAATACAATTAAAATATAAAAATGTCCTATAAGCCAACTTAAAAATAACTAAGAATTTAATTTGGAAATATTTATTTTTATAAAAAATATTCTAATCCTAAATGTGATTCAAAATTGATAAAAAATTCAAACTCTGGAATAAATACATAAAATAACGATATAATATAAAAATTTGCCTTTCGTCATCATTGATAACTGAATTATTGTCAAGCAAATCATCCAAAAATAAAGATTCTAGGTTGTTAGTGACATTTTTTCCCCCGAAACTAGGATGACCTGATATGTTTTTCGCTACATTCGAGAATCGATTGTGTTTGAAATATATTAAATTTGTCCCAAAAAGAGATTTAAGCAACTAAAAAAAATTAAATATAATATTAATTAAATTCTTAAATTTCAAAAAACAAATTCGTATTATTATAACATGTCAGGCGCGTAACCAATGGGGGAGAAAGGGGGAAATCCCCCCCATCGCTAATTTGACTATTTTTATAAATATCATTTTAAGCTAATAAAAATTTTACCCCCATCCCTCCCCCCCCCCCACCAATCAAAATTTTACAGATATTTGAATATCAATTTTTCAACATATTATTCAAAAATATTAATAAAATGGAAAAATATTCAGTCAAAGAGATTGAAATCAAACGATAATTTATAAATAAGACTGAGCATGAAAAAAAGTAATGTGTCGTCAGTAGCGATATCATTATTGAATTCAATTGATCAATCAGAGTTTATCATTGCTGCTAGTTGCATCAATAAATTATTTTTAGCTCACTACTTTGTAGAAATTTACAAAAACCAAATTTAGATTTGGTTCAGGTTATTGATTTGGCGGAAAATATACATGAACAGGTAGATACAATAAGAATGAATGTAGATAAATATTTTCATAATATTTATCTAGACGTTGAATCGAAGGCTAAATTTTATGATATAACACTAATTAAACCTCGTCTAGCACCTAGGCCATTATTGAGATGAAAATAAATATTGGCTAAACTGAAGAATATTATAAAATATCCATTTTCATCCCATTCTTAGATACTTTTTTATCGCAAATAAAAGTACGGTTTTTAGATAAAAAACAAGTCTTTAGCAATCTTCAAGTTTTATTACCCAAAGATCCTTCTTCATTTTCTAATGCCACTATTGGTAAAATTAAATATTTAGCAAAATTTTATTCCTATGAGATTGATACTGAAATAAATTTAATCAGTGAATTCAAATTGTGGCATAAATATTTACTACGTTTAGCTATTCATGCTATTGATGCGCTCAATCGGTGTAAAGAAACCTTGGCTCAATTTCCTAATATTTTGAATTTGTTTTATATTCTTGCATGTTTGCCTATTACAACATGTACGAATGAAAGGACTTTTTTCAACTTGAGAAGGTTGAAAACATATTTACGAAGTACTGAATCTCGGCTAAATGGGTTAGCCTTGTTAAATATACACAGAGATTTGGTTCCAACGACAAACGAAATAATTAAAAATCTTGTATTTGATAAGAAGTTTAAAAAAACTTGTTAATTTAATTATTTTCTAGTCAAAATTTTATACACACTACTATTAGTATTTTCAATAAAAAAATTATATTCTACTTATATTGTATGAGAATTTAAGCTGAGGCTAGTCTTTAAAGCAAATTTTATAAAAAAAAATGGCATTACACTTTATTTCAACTTTACATTAAAAAAACCTTTACATTTAAAAAAACTTTATTAAATATAATATACCTAACTTGAAATAATAAAAAATAGGCTTGTAATATCCTATCCATAAGCACGAATTAGTAAATAATAGTTAAAAATAGAAATATAAATATTATTAAATTATGAATAATTTAATAGAATAGAATAGCTAAAACATAAGACCCGACCGAAGGCCGGGCGAAAGCTGGCCGAATGCCAGGTAAAAGGGGTTTAGGGGTTTCGCCCCCAAAAAAATCCCCCCCCCCTATAAGAAAATTTTGGATACGCCACTGTAACATGTTCATAATTTTTCTAAGATATGTGAGATATTCTTGCTAAATATTCTCATTTTGAAGAAAAAATTAAAAATATTTAAATTAAAAATAAGTGTTAAATACTTTGATTATAAGGAAAGAAATATTGTATATACTTGAGTAAGCGCCGATATGGTTAATGATGGGACAATTGTGAAGGTGATAGACAAGCAATGCAGTAATTCGTCAATAATTTTACTGGTTTCGTAAAATGACATAACTTCGATTATGCTGATTAGCGATTTTAAAATGTTGGTCAATAAAATATAAAATTTCTGATTTTCTTCATCTTTAAGGATTGACTAATTTGGGGAGATATAAAAAATAGGTCATATTAATTTTTTTGAGCAATAAATCAAAAGTTTATTAAAGAAATTAAAATTGATATGAGATGAGATGAATCTAAAATTGAAATAACTATAATTTACCAAATAACTTTGATAAGCCATTTTAACAGTCTCGTATATTTTGAAATAAAGTGGTAGGTGATCATAATTCGTAAATTTGACAAAAGCAACAGTGCGATCTAGTGTAAGTTTAGGGGGAGAAGAGGGGGAGGGATATTAAAAAAATTAATTACATATTCATAAGTTAGTGAAATTTAATTTTTTCCTTAAATGATTAGCTAAAAAATTAAAGACGAAATAATGATACTAAATTAGAGCGTTAATGTTAATAATTTTATTATTTTATATAATTATAATAACTATTTTTTTTTAAATCATATACATATATTTAACCCTCGTAGGGATTTAATGCTTTTCCCAAAACAGGGGGTGGCTTATCCGTTTTATTATTTGTTGGATTAACGGTTGGAATTTCGGCAAAAATTTTTGAGTCGTTTTTACTAATGACAATGTTATCAACTATACGATTATTTAGGCCTTCCGTAGTATCTTTAAACATGGGAAGGTTAATACGTGTATGATCCTTAATTTCTATTCCATCTTGATTTGCGACGGATTCAATCGATACCCCACTGCTAGGAAACAATATCTTAGAACTTTTACGTTTAAGACTTGCCGCCAACTTTTCTCCCAGTGTTACATTTTTAGTAATTTGATCGCATACCTCGTCTTCTTTACCTGAAAACGTGGTAGAAATGTTTTCGTGAGAAGCCCCTGTTATTTTAAAAATAGAAGGTATAAATATCTAATTATGTATTTTTTTAAATTAATTTCAAGTAAAACTTTTTCTTAGCAATATTAAGACCCTAATTTTTGTTTAATAATTTAGTAAATAAGGTTAATAATAATAAGAAGAAATGTTTATGGGAAAAATATATATAAAAAGTTTTAAAAGTGCTCAGCTTATCCATAGCTCAAATTAGACATTTCATATTATATTTAACACATACTTTGTTCGTTGGCTTTGTCGTCACCCGAAAGAGACAGGAAGTCATTTATCATGTTGGAAAGGGAGAAAAACTTTCCAGAAGACGGGGTAAGAGGTAAGTTTTTCTTAGAATCATTGAGTCTTTCGGCAGTTGATTCGAGAATGTTTTGATTCCTCTGTGGAGGATTTTGAATATTTGTCATAGATGTGTTGGAGGCTGGAAATGTGAATTTTCCGTTATTGCGCATCAAGGGAGCCGATGTACTAGAATGCTGCTGAGTCATAGTCGATAACTTGAGATTAAGTTTCTTTTTTTCGATACCTTCTATAACGTCGCAACATATGGCAAGAGTCCTGGATAGGCGAAAAGAAAGAACATAGTCAAAATAAATAAAACTCAAAGAATGATAACTACATAACCATTAATTAATGGGACTGACCTTCTATTATTACTGTTTATAATTGTTAGATCTCAACTCACTTAAATCACGCCAAACCCCTGTTACTTATATCATTAGAATTAATGGACAAATAAATGCTACTAAAAATATTGCCTTAGTAAATGAGCCATAAAACTGTCAATCGTAGATATTAGATATTTATCGTTAATGGTAGGCCAATGATTTGAATAGGGGTTATCGCATGAAAATTGAAGATGTGTGCTGTTGTAATATACGAAAGCTTTGATATAAGGTACATAAAGTGAATGTATAATTCAGTAATGAAATAATATTGTTTCATTCTATGAAATTAAAAAATAAAGATTGAGTATCATACAAATAAAATTTTATAATAATTTACCTATAAAGGTTTGTGAAGTCAGGGTGATTAAATGAGAATGGAGTGTCAAATTTTGAACAATATTTTCGTAGTTGAAAAATGAATTAAAGTATGAGAGTATTGAATGATCATTTCTAAAGCTTTTTTTTTAATTGGTAATTTAAATGTTTAAAAGTTTATCATAAAAATGGTGTATAAATAAATTTTTGTCTAAAAAAGGGTATTAAAGTAAGGTTTATTCTTAAGTATTACAAATTTCTTAGATTCTATGTTTTAATAAAATATTTATCCCGTTCTATACACTTCCAATTTTTCTTATAAATGATAAATTTATCAAGTTTGCATAACACATAATACAATTACCTCAAATGAAATGATTTAGGCATTTGCTCTTGTGAAAATTCGTCATAAAATGTAGATCTGCTAGCTGGGATCGAAGAAATATCTTTTATATTTCTTGTAGCCATTTCCGAGTCAATATTATATAAAATATTCCAGCCGGATGGGTATATTAGTGGAGGATAAACTAGGGTTAAATTTAGCAATGTTTCGATACACCCAGACTGAATGATTTATGGATAAAAAAATTAATCGTTTTTTATTGAAGTATCATATAAGAATTGGTATTGCTAGAGGGGGTGGGGTGTGCTAAGCAAACCATGCCTAAAATATTTTATTCTTAAATAAACGTTTTTTTTATTGCTACATATTAAACGATAGCACATCGAAAAGGTTATACCAGAGCTGTGAACCAGAACCCTAGATATTATACTGAACCCGAACCCTTTTTTAGAAAAGTGTTCTTAGAATTAAAGGTTCAGGGTTATTAAATATAAAAAACATGTAAATTATTCAAAACATGATTTTTTTTAATTTTCAACATAAAAACAATTTTTGTAAAAATCGATTCTCGTGGAATCCTTTTTATTTAGAGTATTCCATTTTAAAAAATTTTAAATTTTACTAGCAGACTTTTATTGATTAATTTAAAATTTGATTATATTATTGTAATTATTTTTTTATGCAAGTATAAAAGGTGGGCAAGGTCCAAAATGGTCTTTGTAAAAAAATTTGACTTAAATTTTGTAAATTAAAATAAAATAAATAGTGTAATAGGTGACTAATATCCCAAATGGTCATTAAAAAAATTCTACTTAAATTTTATTGTTAATTAGATATCATTTTTATCCTAAATAATGTATAATTTAAATAGGAATAAGAATAAATATAGTGCAAAGGTACATGTCCAAAACAAATATTGGATTAAATAATGAATATTTTAAATAGGAAACGAATATAGTATTGGTTACTGGATACTTAAATTTAATTCAATATTTTTAGTGTATAGATATACTTTCTAACTTCATTTAAAAAGTCTTATTATAGCACGGAGCCTACAAATTTTTTAATTATGTGTTTAGGGAAGCTCTGAAGAAATTGATTATGCAGAACTTTAGAAAAAATATTCTAAATTAAAAATTTCATTTTTTAATTTATTTTCGAATATAAAACTTAAATTTAATCATTATTAAACATTCTCACATAATAATTTACTAACTTTTCTTAATTTATTTTAAGTGTATTTGATTCTTATTTTACGAATTTCGGACAAAAATATATTTTAAGGATATAAGCCGTAAATAATATCGGTTCAAGTTTGGATTAAAATAAAATATCGAGATTTATTCATAAAAAATAAATAGATTCGGTTTCAACCTTTAAACCCCGATTCCAAAATTTTTGCATATAAGCGATTGAGAATTATGTCGCTAGAGAAGATGCATATTTTTAAATATTATTACTATTTTGCTAAACTAAAGTAACTCGTTATATTTTACGAAAAATAGGTAATTAAAAAATATGTTAAATATTATATATATTATTTAATATCTTCGAAATTAATTTCTTATTAAATATAAAGTCTCACTTATGTAAAGCGCTCCTATGGAACGTTTGTTTAGTCTGGGGAAGCTTATTTATAGGATGGCTCATATTTAGATACATATTTTGAAATTTGTTTATTGTTGGATTATTTGTTATTAAGGAGATGTGATAGATGTATAGTAAAAAATGTGAAAGTGATACTGGAAGAGGAATGTATTAATCAGCATCGACTAGTTATAGGAGATCTTACTTTCAAAGGCGCCAGGATCACTAAAAGAAAGTTTGTGCCAAGACTGAAGATCTGGAAATTGAAGGAGAGTGCAAGACGACAATTTAATATGACATTGGCGATAAAGGAGGCGGAGGTGGCACAAGCATCTGTGGTAAATGACAAGTGGGAAGCCATGAAGAAAGCCTGGGTTATGACAACTGAGGAGGTATGTGGATGGACAAAAGGGCCGCTTAGATATAAGGAGACTTGGTGGTGGAACCCGGAGGTAGCAAAAGCTGTGGATGAGAAACGGAGATGCTTCAAAGAATGGTACAATAGTAAAGAAAATAGTGATAAGGATATTTACAAGATGGCGAAAAAAAATGCTAAGAAATTAATAGCGAAGGCGATAGAAGAAAAAAGGAAGGAGTTTGCTAAAGAAATGGAATGCGCTGAAGGAATGGGAAATGTGGATCGAATGGCAAAGCAGATGACAAAAAAAGAGGCAAGATGTAGTAGGTGTTTAATATGGAAGAAAAAATAGTGATTGATAGTAGTGGTATTAAGAACACCTGGAAAATCTACATGGAAGGACTTTTGAACGAATAAAATGAATGGGATAATAATAGGTAAAAAAGTAGAAGGCGAGGATTTAAATTTGGCAAGAACGAAATAAAAAGAGCAGTGAAAAAGATGAAAAAAGGGAAGGCATCTGGTTAAACGATGGTGGTATTAGAGATCTTTAAAGGTTCTGAAGATTTAGGGATTGAATGGTTAAAGAATTTAGCCAATCAAATTGTCACAGAAGGAACTATTCCCAAGGACTGGCGAAGAAGTATAATTATCCCAGTATACAAGGGAAAAAGTGATCCTTTAAATTGCGGGTCTTACAGAGCTATTAAACTCTTGGAAGATTGAGAGGGTATTAGAGAAGCGGATAACGGAACAAACTAAAATTGATGAAATGCAGTTTGGTTTTACATCGGGGAAAGGCACGACAGATGCAATTTTTGTGGTGAGACAAATAGAGGAGAAGTATTTTGCGAAGGAAAAGAAGCTGTATGCGTTTGTTGATTTGGAGAAAGCATTTGACAGGGTGCCGCGCGAGGTTGCTAGATGGGCCTTGAAAAAATTAAGTGTGGAGGAATGGTTGGTTGTCGCAGTGATGGCAATGTATGTGGGAGCACAAACAGCAGTACGGACGGATTATGATGAGTGAAAGCTTTGAGGTGAAGGTAGGACTTCATCAAGGAAACGTGCTGAGTCCATTATTATTTATCTTATTAATGGATGTGGTGGCTAGAGAAATGCGTGAAGGACTTCCCTGGGAGCTATTATATACAGATGACCTTGTATTAGTGGCAAACAGTGAGGAGGAATTGAAAGATAAAATTAGTAAATGGAAGATGGAAGATGGCTGGAAGCAAAGGGCTTGAAAATGAATGCAGCAAAGACAAAGGTGATGATTGGTGGTGATAATATGAAGATGGAGGAATTCGACAACTGGCCTTGTGGTGTACATGGGAAAGGAGTTGTTAGAAATTAAATCCAATGCATCAGATGCCAGAAATGGGTTCAATAGATGTAACGGGAAAAGGAAGTTTGATGTTAGCAAGAATGACCTTTATTTGTAGAAAGTGCATAAAAGAGGTACATAATAATGACAGCGTAGAAAATGGTGGTCTGGATATTGGCAATGGGTAAACCCTAGGAAAGTGGATATGTTATTTGGGTGATATGCTAAACGCAGATGGTGGTGTAGATTCTGCCGTTGTTACAAGGGTGAGACCTTTTTTTCTCTTTAGCTTTCACCTTTTCTGGTGGTAAGCTCCTTCAACATCTCTCTCCACTTTATGTTATTCATACAATCTCTTTTATCTAATTTATACTTCTTTATATTGGCTCTAACTTTATGGCCCCATTGAACTTTTGGCCTTATTAGAGCGAAGGATCCTTGGGTCAGCACAAATTCGAAAAGGGGGACACAAAAAAATAAGTACAAAAAATAAAATCCAAACTCTCAACCTTATTTCCTATGTACTTCATAGGCCTTCTCATTGTGTGCCCATACCACCTAAGTCTGTTTACCATTAACTTAGTCTTAATGGGCACTACCTTTAAACTACTTAGTATTCTTGTACTGCGCACTTTATCCTTTCTTGTGGGAAAAATTTACAGTTCCATAGTACAACCAACTAATCTATATAATTCGGAAACATGGCCAACCAAAGAATCAGACGAGAGAAGTCTACAAACTATGGAGATGAGAATGCTGAGGATGATTGCTGGGGCAACAAGAAAGGATAAAGTGTGCAGTACAAGAATACTAAGTAGTTTAAAGGTAGTGCCCATTAATACTAAGTTAATGGTAAACAGACTTAGGTGGTATGGGCACACAATGAGAAGGCCTATGAACTACATAGGAAATAAGGTTGAGGTTTGAAAGTGATGGGCAAACGTAAAAGAGGAAGGCTTAAACTTCAATGGGGCCATAAAGTTAGAGACAATATAAAGAAGTATAAATTAGATAAAAGAGATTGTATGAATAACATAAAGTGGAGAGAGATGTTGAAGGAGCTTACCACCAGAAAAGGTGAAAGCTAAAGAGAAAAAAAAATAAAAAACAAGGGTGAGACAAGTTTGGAAAAAGTTCAGAGAGATGTCGTCTATTCTTACAAATAAAAAAGTTTCTCTGAAGTTAAAGGGGAAAGATAACGTATGCTGTGTGAGGAGTTGTTTAGTTTATGACGGCGAAACGTGGGCAATTAAAGCGACTCACGAAGCCAAATTAGAAAGAACAGAGATAAGGATATTTAGATGGATGTGTGGGGTGTCTCTGAGAGGGAGAAAAAATAGCAAGGAATTGCGAGCAAGATTGGGTATAGAAATGATTGGAGTGGTAAAGCGACGAAATAGACTAAGATGGTTTGGGCATTAGGTACGTATGATAAAAGATGACTGGGTAAAGAGATGCACCTTGATGGAAGTGGGAGAATCAAGACCTAGAGGAAGGCCCAAGATGACGTGGAGAAATGTGATAGCGGCGGATATGAGAAGCATGAATCTTACAAATATTGATGCTCAGACCGTCAAAAATGGAAAAGAAATATAAGAGGGAAAACTGGCCTACCAGGGTAAACCTGGAAATCGCCATAAAACGGAGAAAAAGAAGAAGTTAAAGTTAAGGAAATTATAGCCCATCTTAACACAAATTTTTAAAACTTTTACGCTCAAAAATCAAGACATTTATAAACCATGAGAATATATCCTCTACGAAAAATTAACTATGGTTCTTTTTGGGAACCCAACTAAAAAAATAGTTGGCTATGATATTTTAACTATTTATAATAAGATTTTATATTATTATATGATTGATTTTTATGTTTTTAAATTAAGTATTATTATTTTATATTATAATTTATTGATTTTTATGTTTTTAAATTAAGTATTATTATTTTATATTATAATTTATTATGTCAATAGTACTTATTTCTTTTGATGAAGATAATCTAACTCTGCCCTGGCTCCAGTATGAAACATTCTTTACACAAATAAAGCATATATATTTCAACCTCGATGTCCAGTAGCTCAAATAAAAAAACATATGAAGGTAAAAATATGAATTCGATTTAAATCCTGATGAAGATAATAATAAAAATAATTGACAAGGATCTGAATAAAAAATTTTTGTGAAGATGATCATAAGTTTTTTTGAAAAATAAAGATCTTTCGATATTTTTAATAAATTCCTATATTAAAACTTTTATTTATTAAACATAATACAGCCCTCCCCTCCCATCCTCAGTCCCAGTTGAAAGTGTATTTATCATAGCGAAAGCTATGTTGAGCACTAAGCGATCTTGTTTATCTGATCAAAATTTAGAAAATTAATTATTGTTAAATATAAAAAAGTATTACAAGAACATATCTAATATATTATTTTACTTTTCTATCTATGGGAGAAAAATATAAAAAGAAAATTTATATAAGATAACGAGTAACAGTAAAGCGTTCTTTTTTTCAAACGTAACGAGTAACGCGTTTCGTTTTTGAAGTAACGCAGCACTAATTATTATAAATTGCTAATAAATACTTTGGTATGAAAATCTGTTGCTCTAGCGATAATAGATAGCAAACGTTGAATGACGTAGGATAAATTGCGGTTAATAATACAATTCATGGTTGATTCCATTTGTAAATTGTGAGTAATTCCTTGATCTACACCATCAAAAAAAAATCAATATTATCAAATGGCTATTATTTACCTTGAAAATTTTTTAAGCAGATAAAATTAGAAATTATTCTTAAAGTTAATCTTTTTTTATATACATCTATTACTAATTTTCTAGCTTCAGAAGAATATTTATTTTTTAACTTCCTGTTGTGATTGTGCAATCTATTTTTTTGATTACTATATTATTCAATTTAAATAGTTCTCTCTCAGTGGACAAATTACAAGAATTATTATTCATATACGGCTTTTGTCCTTAGTTTATAAAGAATTATCATTTTCGAGAGCATTTTTTTTTTAATTTTTAACTTTTGTAAATATTTTGATATAAAATTTTTTATTCATGATTAAAACTTCTTTATAATTTCGCAAATAAAATATAATTGTATAACTTATTTAAATTAGTTCAATACCTTTTAATTCTATTTATATTAAATATTTAAAGTAACTTATAGTTTTCTATTTAGTCATAATGGAGATGTAAAATTATTTTTAAATTCATAGAAAAATCAGAAGTCATATCGATTCCTATAATATTTAAAAACGGTTTTTATATAATGTAATTGTTGAATAAATATGGAAAAACCGAGTAATATATAGAACGGATGCGGTAATGAAAGAATTATTGGCGTAGAATGAGGAGCTTTAGGCCTTTTCGATTTATCCCGAAATATCTTTATATACATTACAAAATCTAGGTCATCAGCAACAAAAGTATGGGGCGTAAACAAGCTTGGGATAATCCTTGTCCGAAAAAAATAATAAAACTTGAATGCCTAAATAAAGTCAGTCCTTATTATTTCCAATCGATTAAAAGATTTAGTCTATCATTAATCATTTACAGCAATCATATCATTTACAGCAATCATATCATTTACAGCAATCATATCATTTACAGCAATCATATCATTTACAGCAATCATATCATTTACAGCAATCATATCATTTACAGCAATCATATCATTTACAGCAATCATATCATTTACAGCAATCATCTTATCTTAACCATATAATTTTTGGTATAATTTTCTAAACCTACAAGTTTTTAATTATATCCATATATTGCAAAATTCCTGAAATTAAGCATAATTTTTAAAAAAAAACTCTTTCTTTTTTTATCTCATTACTTCATTTTCTATGCCTTTAAAAATAAAATACATGTTACTTGGTTATAATCTGAGAAGTAAGTGCTCGAATTCTGGTATCGTTTTCGTGTAAAAAATTAAAAACTATTTTTAATATTCGAGTCGTTACATTCTATAATTTTTAATAAGAATTAGCTATGATTCATTTTTTTTATAATTTCCTAACTTCAAAACACATATTCTCCGTAAACGAAAAATAGGATTCCATGTATTTGAGTTCTAACCAATCAATCTCTGAAACCAGCTTAAGATAATTTATCTATAAGTAAAATTTTAAAAAAAGTTACCAAATATATTATAGCAAAATAATTTTGTGATATAATGATATAAAAATGAGGATATTAAAGATAATTAACTTAAAATGAAAAATACTTTTGATAGCCAGTAATTCGATGAAGACTTGAAAAAGGATAAAAAATTTAGAAGATTTCGATAGTAAATTCCCCCTAGAAAAAATTTAGAAGAAATCAAAATCTGTCTGCAAAGTGCTAAGGTAGAGCTTTGGATCAAAGGTGATGATTTCATATTTTCAATTCCCGATGAGTATTCTAAGATTCGGTTGAACGATAATTCCATAGAATGCTTGATTTGACTATCCTGAACTTTATAATCAACAATTTATATACCCAAGGTGTCTAGACTTTTAACTATAAATATTCTATCTTGCTAAAAAAATTTTACTGAATCTGATTTTTTTTATATAAAATGTACATAAAAAGTAATATTGAAAAATAACATTTTATAAAAAAGAAAATTTTAAATAAATAAACATTAAAATATTTCATAAAATACAAAAATAAGTGTCATAAATGAGTGACATATTTGATGATATTTATTGCGTGAACATTAATAAATAAATTGTGCAGGTTCATTATTAGACCGTATTTTAATATTTTGTTTTATTTTATTTTTAGATATCGAAATTAAGTTTTGTTAAATCATAATGAGATTGTATTTTATGCGCTTCCCTATAAAAGGGAAGCGAAATATTATAAAATTATTATTAACTATTTTATTTTTGTTTTTAATATATTTTTTTGGTTGTAATAGTAAATTTTGAAATAAAATTATTCGTTTTTTTTGTGTGGGAAATTCAATAAAATTATTATACTCGGAGTTTTGCTTTCTATTCGGACTTATACGGCACAACGTGATAGTTGGTGCCGTGACCAAAAAATTAAAGTAAGAACAATTATTTTTATAAATTATTTTTGGGAAAACATTTTTGTGGAGCGTTGTGGTGGATAAGATCGCCAATTTGAAGAACCGTCAAGAGCAAGTACCGTCAAGACCAAGTACCGTCAAGAGCAAGTACCGTCAAGAGCAAGTACCGTCAAGAGCAAGTACCGTCAAGAGCAAGTACCGTCAAGAACAAGAACCGTCAAGGACAAGTACCGTGTGTAATAAGGGACCGTTTGGGTTGAAAGACCGTCAAGAACAAGTACCGTCAAAAGAGGTGACCGTCGAGTGAAAATTTTCAAAAGACGTAAAGTACACGGAAGTGCTGCCCAAATTTTTGCCGATATAAATCTATTAGACGAAAATCGAAAATTTACTAAAAAAGTAGAGTACACGGAAGTGCTGCCCAAATTTTTGCCGATATAAATCTATTAGACGAAAATCGAAAATTTACTAAAAAAGTAGAGTACACGGAAGTGCTGCCCAAATTTTTGCCTATATAAATCTATTAGACGAAAATCGAAAATTTACTAAAAAGGTAGAGTACACGGAAGTGCTGCCCAAATTTTTGTCTATATAAATCTATTAGAAGAAATTCCAAAAAAGTTTATTAGAAAGCAAGTTACACGGAAGTGCTGCCGATTTTTTTCCAAAAGACGTCAATACACGAAAGAGATAAAAGATTAGCGGAAAGTATTGATATTTTTTTTGAAATTGATAAATGTATATGTGTATTATTGGAGTTTTTACCTTATTGATTTTATCTTATTGTCTGACATTACAAGTAGTTAAGATATTTTTGGTGAAATTAATTATTAATTTTCTGTGAATATTTTATATAATTTAGTGTTGTTAGAGAAATAAATTAGGAAAAATTTAAATACGTAAATATTTTAATGAAGGGTTTTAAAATTACAAAATATGTGGAGTTGCAATATAATGTATTGGGAGCGGTGGTAGTGTTGATGATATGGTTGTGTAGTTTATATTTTGGAAGGAGAATGCGAAGAGAAAGGAGTATTAGGATTCGTGGGCAGTCGTTGTTGGTAGAGGGGCATAATGGAGAGGATGATAGGTTGGGGAGAGTGACGTGGTTACCGGTTCAAGAAATAATGAAGGGTTGGGTCAATAATGAAGAAATTGACCGGTTAAAGAACGAGAGGATAGATGACAGACATTTGGATGTATACCGTGGACGTCAAGATATGCCAAGGCCGTTCAACAGTGGGGGACAGAGAGGTCGGAATGGTAGATGTTATAAATGTGGGGAGATGGGTCATATTGCGGTGAATTGTAGAGATGTTAAATGTTTTGCGTGTGGGGAGATGGGACATATTTCGACATATTGTCCGGGCAGAGCAGAGAGAATACGTTGCACGGGTTGTGGAAGATTTGGACATGTGTTAAAGGATTGCCGAGTGGGAAAGGTGGAAACAAGGGCAGGTTTTCCACAGAGAGGAGAGTCGTCGGGGGTCGTGAATATGAGGAGTATGACGGAGATAGGTGGAAAAGAAGGAAAGGATATTGGAGAGGAGATGACGTGTTTCAAGTGCCGAGAAAGGGGACATTGGGCCAGAGATTGTAATAAAGATTGACTATATGATGGGAAGGAGAGTAAAATAATGACCGTGGCGTTAGGAGGAGGCAAGAAAGAGTTGAGAGTTAAAATGTTGCAGCAGGAGGTTCAAAGGGAGTTAATGTATCTGCCGAGTCCAAGGGTATGGTTCGATATCAACGGGAAGATGGTATCTATGTTATTTGATACCGGAGCAGCTATTTCGGTGATGGGATATGAGGATTTTAGAAGACTTTGGCCGGGTAGTAATATAATTAGAGACGTTATGCAAGTAAGGCAGTTTGATGGATCGGAGATGGAGATGATGGGAAGAGTGCATATTGGGGAGGTAGGAAGAGAAGGATGTAAAATGTTGGACTTATGGATAATTAACCGAGACGTTGAGCCGGTGATGGGATGGGATTGGATTACAAATGTAGGGCCGAGATATGGATTCTGGGGAGTATTTGCCCGATGGGGAGTATTTGTGGCGATCGAAGAAGATATTCGGGAAGACTTGATAAATATGGTCCGAGTGAATGAAGAGAAGAGAATGTCGAGAGAAAATTTGGAATGGATGGAGGGCCGAGATAATATTGAAGTAGACGATGGAAGATCCATGTTTTGGGGGGAAAGCGAAGAGAATGCGAGAGAATATGTGTTGGGGAGAGGTCCGATTTATGTAGATGGAGAAATAGGAAATGTCCAAGACAGTAGATATGGAGTATTGAGGCCGCTGGTTAGTGAGAAGAAGGGAGAGAATTTTGTAGAACAAGGAGTTGCGAAAAATTTGTGGGGGTGTGGAGAGGGAATAAAGGATGTCCAAAAGGAGGTGGAGAAGTTAGTGGAGAGGTATGGAGAAATATTTGAGGAAGAGTTGGGTTGTTTGAAGGGTTATGAGGTGGAGATTCGGATGAAGGAGGGATGTGTGCCGAAGTATTGTGCTGTACGTCGTGTACCTTTTGAATGGAGGCGAGAGGTAGAGCAAGAGTTGGATAGATGGGTAAAGGAAGATATTGTATGTCCGGTCGAATTTAGCGAGTGGGCGACACCTTTAGTACCGGTGAAAAAGGCTAATGGGAAGTTGAGATTATGTGCAGATTTCCGAGTAACATTGAATCCGTGGGTAGTGGAAGTAAAATATCCGTTACCGAGGATAGAGGAGATATTGGCGAATTTGAAGGGGAGTTTATATTTTTCGAAGGTGGATTTTTCTAATGCGTATTTGCAGTTGAAGGTAAGGAAGGAGATGCAGAAGTTGCTGACCATAACTACGCCCAAGGGACTATTTGCGTTTAAGAGATTGCCGTTTGGGTTGAGTGTTTCGGCACCCATATTTCAGAGGACAATGGCGGCCGTTTTTCAGGGTTTGGAGGGAGTGTTTTACTATATGGACGATGTCTTGATAACAGGTATTACGCAGGAGGAGCATAATAGGAGGCTGGAGGAGGTATTTTGGAGAATCAAGGAGAAGGGATTGCGTGCTAGTAGAGAGAAAAGTGTGTTTGGAGTAATGGAGGTTGTTTATTTGGGTCATCGGATTAATGGAGTAGAGGTTAGACCTTTGGATAAGAATATGGTGGGTATTGCAAACATGTTGAGGCCGAAATGCAAGTCGGAAATACAGTCTTTTCTGGGAATGGTTAACTATTATCACAGGTTTGTAGAGAATTTTGCGGAGATAGCGGCACCTTTGTACCAGTTGTTGAAAAAGGGAGAGAGATTTGATTGGGGAGATGAACAGGAGGAGGCGTTTGAGGAGTTGAAGTGCCGGATTGGAAAAGAGCCCGTCTTAGTGTGTTTTAATAATGAACTGGAGGTGATATTGGCGGTAGATGCGTCTCAAAGGGGAGTAGGAGGAGCGTTATTGCATCGTATAGAAGAGCTGGAGAGACCGGTGTTATTTTTTTCTAGAATTTTTAGGGCCGCGGAGACGAGATATTCGGTAATTGAGCAAGAGGCATTAGCTGTAATTTTCGGATTGACAAAGTGTCGGGAGTATTTGATTGGGCGTCGTTTTGTAGTCTATACGGATCATAAGCCGTTGATTCATTTATTTCGGAAGGATAACAAGGAGTTGATGATGTCGCCGAGGTTGCAGAGGTGGTTATTGATGGTGGGTAGTTTTGACATGGAGATGAGATATCGTAGAGGCCGAGAAAATTATTTGCCGGACATAATGTCGAGATGCGGAGCAGGGGAGGATGTGGAAGAAGGTAATACAGAGGAGATGTGTAAGAAGGAGGTAGCGATGGTCATGGTGGTATCGAGAATGTTGAAGGGAGGTCCGGTAACGTGGGAGGAGATTCGGAAAGAGACGCAAAAAGATAGGGATTTGAGTCGAATAAAAGAATGTATAATGGGCCGGAAGCCGTGGAAAGAAGGAGATAGAGCTTATAAAAATGTTGGAGGAGAATTGACGGTGATGGACGAATGTGTAGTCCGGGGAAATAGGGCAGTGATACCTGGGAAGTTGAGAGGAATGGTTTTAACAATGTTGCATGCAGGTCATCAGGGAATGGAGCGTATGAAACAATGGGGACGAGAATATGTATGGTGGCCGAGGATGAATGTGGAGATTGAGGAACTAGCAAGACAATGTGTAGTATGCAATACTTGGGCCAGGATGCCAGCAAGAGATAGAGAAGGGACTTGGCCGAAAACAACGGAGCCATGGGAGAGGGTTCATGTCGATTTCTTCGAGTATGAAAAAAAGGATTATTTTCAAGTGGTTGATGCATTTTCTAAATGGGTGGAGTTTGAAGTTGTAGGAGGGTTGACAACGCAAGTAGTGGTCAGAAAATTGAAGAATTTGTGGGCAAAGTTTGGAGTGGCTAAATCAATCGTGTCTGACGGTGGACCAGCGTTTAGTAGTGCAGAGTTTGCGAAATTTTGCAAAGAAAATAGGATACGGCATATTTTATCTCCTCCATACCACCCAAGCTCCAATGGGCAGGCAGAGCGGATGGTGGGGTTGGTGAAAGATTGGTTACGAAAGGCAAAGTATGGGAGAAGAGAAGTATGGACGTCGGTGATGTATTATAATAATAGTAGGAGGGGAGAGGATTTGTCTCCAGCAGAGAAGTTTTTAGGGCGCAGAACGAGGATTGGGTTAGATGCTCGGAGGCCGGAGTCTAAGGGTCCGAGGAGAGAACGGGAGGAGGAGGGACCAGCAAAGTTTATGGTGGGACAGTCGGTGTGGGGGAGGGTATATGGTGAAAAGGAGAAATGGCGAGCCGGAGTTGTGATGGAAAAGGTAGGAAAAAAGTTAAGTCAGGTCCGTTTTCAGGATGGCAAGGTTGGTGTGAGACATGAAGATCAGATACGCAGAGGAACGGAAGCGGGGCGAAAGTGACAGGGGCAAGAGGTGAGACATGAAGATCAGATACGCAGAGGAACGGAAGCGGGGCGAAAGTGACAGGGGCAAGAGGTCAACGAGAGGTCCGAAGTTAAAAAAATATATATAGGTCAAGGTCACGGGGGTGGTGTAGGTGGTCGTTCCGGAAGGCGGAAGGGGAAGTATGATATAAAGAGGGGTATATAATATATAAGGTGGGAATAAGTCAAAGTATGATCGAGTCAAATTGTAAAGAAAAATTATAATGTATCAGAGTAAAATAGTAAAAGGAAAATTGTTTTTTTGAATTGTTTTTTTTTTTGTGAAATTTGGTGGAGCTGAAATAAATATTAGAGAAATGTTTAAAAAATGTTGAATTAAATAAATTAAGGAGAAATAAAATTATTAAAAAAAAAATATTTTTTGGAAGTTTAGGTTAAATAAAATAATGTAAAGGGAAAAGGGTTTTGAAAGTGTATATTAAGTAAAATAAATTTTCGAAATATATTTGGTGGAATAAACCGGTAACGAAGAAGGAATAAGCGGCGGAATAATATTGAAGCGAAAATAGTTGAAGATTCTTGTGGTAAACGGAGGGGCGGAGGCAGGAATAGAATGGGTATGAATAATGGGAATAGGTGGATGGGATGATGTAATAAAGAGAAGTATTGAGAAAAGTAAGAATGAATTTAAAAAAAAAAAAGAAACAAAAAGTAATAGTAAAAAAAAAAAATAACGGGGTTAGGGTTGAGTGATTTGTATTATAATGTTTTTTATATTATAATGTTGTATTTTGTTGGCAGGGAAGAGTGAATTAAAAGGAAAAAATAATAATAATAATAATAAGATGTTAATAAAGGGAGTAATGGTTGTTTGTTGTTTTTAATTTTTCTTAAGAGAAAAATAGTAGGAGTTAAGGTTAAATGATAAAAAATATAATAAAATTAATAAAAGTTTTTCTGTTAACGAAAATAGAGAGAGAAAGAGAAAAAAAAAATAGAGTTAAGGAGATGGGGTATTGAAATATAAAGGAAATGATTTACGAGTAAGAGAGTGTTGAGAAAAGGAAAATTTTGAATAAGTAAGAGAAGAAGAAAACATAAAATTCATAATTTTATTCGGTAGAGGAAAATATCATTTTATTCGGTATGCCGATTATTAATAAGTAAGTCGTTATATATATATATGCAAGGAGAGTGATGAGGAAAGGGGAGGGAAGAAAAGGGGGAAAGCAGAATAAAATAAAATAATAATAAGAGAAGGTAAATGATTATGTGATATAGATATGTAGACCTGGGTACTCATTTGATGCGAAATACGATAATTAGTGCGGATATGGAACCGCTTGCTAGTGAATGGAGGGCTTTAGCCCAGGAAGGCACGAGATCAATGGAGGGGAAAAGAAGACCATCAGAGCACTCAAGGGAAACGGTACGTGAAGAAAGAGACAGGGTGATATGTTATGGTTGTGGAATGGCGGGACATATCCGCCGGTGGTGTCCCAAGGAACGGTTTGATACTATGGGAGGGCGAACCTGGAAGGAGTCGGAGCCAACGTCCGCATCTTCCGATAACAGAGCAATACAATCAGATCAACGAATGGCGTCGGACACGCCAGTGTTACGGGTAGGAGAAGATGAGTATAGGCAGTTGTTGGGGCCGACGAGGTCCGATAAAGGGGGGAAATGTCATAAATGAGTGACATATTTGATGATATTTATTGCGTGAACATTAATAAATAAATTGTGCAGGTTCATTATTAGACCGTATTTTAATATTTTGTTTTATTTTATTTTTAGATATCGAAATTAAGTTTTGTTAAATCATAATGAGATTGTATTTTATGCGCTTCCCTATAAAAGGGAAGCGAAATATTATAAAATTATTATTAACTATTTTATTTTTGTTTTTAATATATTTTTTGGGTTGTAATAGTAAATTTTGAAATAAAATTATTCGTTTTTTTTGTGTGGGAAATTCAATAAAATTATTATACTCGGAGTTTTGCTTTCTATTCGGACTTATACGGCACAACGTGATAATAAGAATATTAAAAAAGAATAAAAATGTAATTAAACAATTGCAGCCAACTCTTCCTTCATACCTAACCCTTGCGGCACTTTTTAGTTATCTAGTTATGTTTAATTTTTCTTACCATTTTCAATATTCTAAATCAAATTTATTTAAAACCATTTATTTTTTCGACATCATCGTAACTGTATTCTGGTAGAGTTTGCATCATAACAAGCATATTAACCATCAGGTGAGTTAACTGCGAAATAAAATTTAGATCACTAAAATTATGGCATTTGAATAAATCCATGATAGTCAAGCTATGAATTAACTCTCTCGGCTGATCTAAAAAATATATGTATAATAATTTAATTTAAATCATCCCAGATATATAATTCTACTATAGGTTTTCCTATAGATGGACAAATGCATAATAATCTCTGAGATTCTCGATCAAAATAATAAATATATTATTAAAGGTTCTCAATTAAAATAATAAAAATTTGTTAATGGAAAAATTACTTTAAAAAAATTTAGTTAGAAAGAAAATCATAAAATAAAATTACTAGTATCATCCATTCCCGCGACCATCAAAATTTGCTGCAGCTTTGTGGGAAAAAGATCACTACGGCGTAAAAATTTAATCATCTCACCCAATAAAACCAAAGCGTTGCTTTGAACGCTGATCCTTAAAACGGGAAGATTTTTACTATTATTTCTTATACGAGCTTGCAAGATTTGATTACCACCGCCTTTTCCTAGAGCGTAAGTTAACAAGAACTGGGCTAAAATTTTACAGTACAAATGTTGAACGAGTGATTCAAGAATTTCTGATGAATCGTTAACCTAAAATTATAATTAAAATTATTTAATTAATAATTAAGACCTGGCTCTGGATCCGACCGTCTTATTAAAATAGCCAATTCTCAAATATATATATGTATAACTAAAATTAATGTCTTTGTCATAAAAAAATGAAGATTTATCAATATAAAAAATTTTTTTTTAATATTTTATTTAAAATTTGATCAGAAATTAGAAAAAACTAACAGAGCCCATTCTTTTATAGCCAGGCCCTTAACAATGGCCAGTTTATTGTCTACTCTAGAACTTATATAGATAAACCAGGGAGATAAGGCCTTGATAGAATATCCCTTGTCCCTGTAGTTGAGTCAGACTTGCGCTTGAAATTACTCAATTTATGTATGCATATTTACAGCATAGAACCATTTCACAGAATCAGCAGAAACTAATAAAATATTAAAATACTCTTTTTTTCAAATCATATTTTTATCCCATTAGCACCACTCTAAATAGCTTTAGGGAGTCCTTCATCACAGAATCAGCAGAAACTAATAAAATTTTATAATATTTTTTTTTAAATCATATTTTTAACCCATTAGCACCACTCTAGATAGCTTTGGGGAGCCCTTCATAAAATTTAAAAAAATGCTATGTATATTCGACAAAAAAATCAGAATAAAAGTATTGGGGTCTATTTTCTATAAATGGGTGGATGCCCATTTGATGATTTTTACCTAGATTATACTTCTTAATGTATAAATATTTTAACAATATTACTAAAAAAGAGACTTATAATTTTCATATTTTATAAATTTTATGTTATAAAAGTTATCGAATTTGTAATACTTTTTAAATATTATCGCTAAAATCGAAAATCAACATTAATCCAAACATACATAATGAAAAACATATAGGAGGAATAATTTTTTTTAATCAAGGTATTTAGATATAAAGACTTTCTAATCTTTTTTAAAATATATATTTACTTTATTTTGTTTTAACATATATTTAATGCATATATATATTGTTACGTTCATATAAATTTAAATATATTATTGTAAATTAATATAAACTTAATGTTAAAATGTCAATTGAATTAAATAATTATAATATCATTTATAGTTTATATAGTAATATAGTATATATAGAGGACGGATTAATAATAAAATTACCATTGACCATATATCGTCGTATAAGAAGTATAGAATATAAAATTTAGCGTCAAATTTTTTAAAAAATGGGTCAAGTAAATTATTGGATAAAATATTTATTTTTTTAAACATATATAAATTTTAGAAATAATGGGTGAGATTAAAATGTGCTTAAATGAATTTCAAAAAGAAGAAACCACCATAGAGAATTACTTGAACTACATTAGATTATATATTAAACAAAGAATATTCCACAAACGGACGCCACTTTAAAAAAATTATTTGTAACATAAGAAGAAATAAATATAGTAACCGATATAAAAAAAATACAATTTCCGAAGAAAATTGAAGACGCATTATGACCTGGAGATTCCCGGAAACCCCCCCCCCTCATATATTTTTTATCAAATTTCCACTTAAGATCGAATAATAACGGGATATGGTTTGGATGCTTTAATTGGCCGGATTTATGAAAAAAAAAATTTTTGGCCAGGGTGATTAAAAAATAGAGCCCGGTCCGGATTTTTTTTAAAATAACATTTTCGACCTGGCCTGGGTTTTTTTTTAAATATTTTACGGCCAGGTAGGTGTACTCGACCCAAGTTTCTGTAATCAATGCATTCATTTTTATAAGTAAAGCAAACAAAAAAAATTTTTTAATATTTTAATTATTATATCAAATATAATATAAATGCGAGAAAAAACATTATTAAAAAATATATTTTATTAATAAGTTAAAAAATTTATAATGGATCTAATTCAACCTGAAAAAGTCATATCTGGAGATATGTCACATACCCTTCATATAAGCTTAAACAAGATATAATGGCTCAAAATATTCATCTTTTAAATGCAGAACTATAAAATAAGATTGGATACTTGAAAAAGCTCACACTCATTTATCAAATATTAATGGACTAGAAGCAATGTGCAGACTCTTTATCAAAAACTCTTCAAATTTATGCAAAGGAAGTTGTGAAATTAGACAAAAGCGTTCAGTCACACATGTTATCAGAAGAGTCAATAAAAAAACTTTAAGTAACAAAAGGCAAAGCACAACCCTATAAATGGTGAGAATTTACAAAACCTAATTACTCATGGTATATTAGTATTAAATATAATTATATTTTCATACAAATTTAAGTGTTTGGACAAATTGTGGTCCCTAAAACACAGATTTTATTATTATTGGTTCATTTGCTAGAAAGGATAATCATGTTTATCATGGAAGGATCATTGTAATTATTGGCAAATAATCACAGCATGGTATATGGATTAAAATAGTCTCCTAAATATTTCCTTCAATTATATACCATTCGAGTATGAATGAATGCTATTTTTTGTACTCAAAAAAAGCAAAATATGCCACGAAAAAAATATTTTAAAAAATTATTACGAAATCTCAGGGTCGAGAAATATTGACCGGTTCTTTATATATATATATTATATGAATGTCGAAAAATCGGCTGTGAGCGCGAGTAAAACCAACATTGGTGAGATTATTAATTTTAATTATTTACATCCTATCTTTTTTAATTAGAGTATTATGTCATCATCAGAGGGTGTTTTACCATTTGTGTCAAAGTACATATAAAAAATTCAGAAACTAGACCTAGAAAACACCGTTGAAACTTAATTTGTTGATGTAATATGGTCAATGCAAAGGCATCTCTATCTAAGAACGGTTACTTCTAAAAATGGAAAAGATATCCGTGATTATTTCGATAAAAATGATGTCAATAGAGTATCAAGGGGGGTCACAAGAGGTAATTCTCAGTCTCAGACACGTTGAATTAGGCCTCGATTTCCATCGAAGGAAAGTAAATCAGAGTAATTTATCCTAAAAAAACACAAATAATCAATGCGAAGGTGGAATCATCGTCTTTCTAATCTAGTTTGAAATAAATCCTCACTAAGTATTAATGTTAAAAAATGAAATGGCTACTTATGAAACCAAACTCGAACTATCGCGTGCGGTAGATGGACACCGAGTCAAAATCGCAGAGCTATAATACCCAAGTTCGGCTAAAGACACTTAACTAGGAATACCGCGATGGGGTGCAAAGCCCTGGTTTTTCTGAAGTTTTTTTCCTCCGCACTGGACAGATATATATAAAATAGAGAAACCATATTTAAAGACGAACGAACTGTTTTTGCCTCAAGAATATACTTTATTAGATTGAGTCGCAAACCAACAGAAACCGTGATGGACTATTTAAAGAAAATCAAAGAATCAACTAATATATGTGAATATGAAGACAATATAGATTGATGTATTCGTGATCACTTAATTGCTGGGTTAAAGATATCTCAAAAGAATTACGATAAAGATATCCAGATACTTAAACGGACAACCTTTCGTTTAATTAAATAATAGAAATGGCTCTAGCGATGCAGCGAGAAAACTTAGAATTAAACAATACAAAAATAGTATATAAAATAAAAGAGATGATAAAATATAATAATCTACTTTATCAAAATGATAAAACTATATAAATTCATTATTCAATTTCGTTAAACAACAAAAAAGAAACCGAATTATAAGCCATATAAAATCTATGATATTATACCTTAAGCGTGAAGCCAGGCGAATTTCTAAAAGCATTAATTCTGAAGCCTATATCAATAATTGGTGCTCATTTAGTATATTTTAGTGAACTTGTTTGATAGATATTTTCTAGGAAAAAGCATTATTGACAAAATAATAAAAATTGCCAATATTGACATCAAGCTAGAACTAAAATTATAGAAGCACTCAATATCTGAGTGCGCCAAAATGTAATTCCTGATTATTTACTAACACAATCAATTTTTTCAGATAGCACAACTTAGGCTAAGTCTTTAACATTGAATTTTAAATTGCGATTCAAAAATACATTACGTCTAAATATATTAAGGTTTTTTTTCCCAAGATTCAAAATATTTTTAAATCTTATGATTGTATGAACTTTTTAGATATTATTTGTTCGTTTGGGTTTAATAAATAGAAGTAAAATAGCAAAAATTTCATATTTTACATCGAGTTGTATTTTAACTTTGAGGCGTGGAAAAAAATTCCGATAATTTTTTGTTATATTGAAAAGTTTTATTTTTATCTATAAAAAATAAAATATAATTAAAATTTTTCTTTAAAAAATAAGTGGTATCATATTGATTCCACCTCCCCAACAGAAGGCGTAGCAATTTTAAAAAATGATTAAATAAAGGGGAACGTTGCAATATAATTTTAAAAATATAAAATTTTTTCTTTTTCATATTTCAACATTTAGTAAATTTAAAGATAATATGTTATATTTTAACTCCTGTTTCTAAGTGAAGTAAATTGAAATGTTTAAAAGTATATTTAATTTTAATATTTTGGTGATTTCAGATGAAGTGGCTTGCGCTAGTGGTAGAAATATGATTTTAAAATGATGGTTTCAAAAATGCATCATGCCCACGGTTTCCTTGTCAAAATTTTTGGATTGTGGATATTTTAATTTGGGAGCTGCTACCTCTCCCCTTGGGCCTATAACGCTTTTGCCAGGGCTTCGGCAGTCCCACTTTCACTAATGACATATTTATATTTTGTTTATTTATATATAAAATATATATATATAACTTAATTTATTGTTATATGAACTCAAACATTCTAGAAGAAAAGCAATACAACACAAATTAATTATATATTTAATTTATTCAAATGTAAGATATAGTAAAAATTAAAAATGACTCTTAATAAAGGCAAGTCAATAATTTATTAAACAAATAAAAATTCACATTATATTTTTTATAATAATGATGGTTGTTTACTCATTTTGAAATCTATACAAGAGATGGCGATAATTATATAAGCTCCATATATTATATTGGTAGAAATAAAACATAAATTTAAGAAGAGTATCCAATAAAAAGAGATGGGCTTTAATCATATTTTATTATAAAAATTTTCAAAACTTGTAGATTTTGAAAAATTTCAAAAATAGTAGTTGAGTTGAGTAAGGCAGATTTGGACTTTTTTAAAAAATTGCGGTAGTCTACCAGTCAATGTAATAGATATGACAACCCTGATCGTGCCCCTCAAAGACTCATTGACTTGAGTCATTACTTTGAATTACATAATGACTTGTGCGACATATAATATAATAATTCTTGGTTATACCTGATAGGTCCTTCGCCAGCGAAAGTTGTAATCAAAATTTAAATCATAGATATATTCGTTCTTAATTTGCGATTCATCTATATCTGCGATATTGTCGTTAGTATCTATTAACGTTTCGTCTAATACATCATCCTCCTGCATTAAGTCTTTTTGGGGTGATTATTTATCAAAAATTGTGTTGGGTTTAAATATTTATAAAGTTTAGGTGCGATAATATTTATGTATCGATTTAATATAAATTTACTTTCTAAACCGAAATAATCCTAAACTTTTCGTTTTTTAATTCGCCTTGAACCAAATGAGATTGAAATTGTTGTTCTAAACTACCTTACCGAAAAACTTTTCATGGGTTTAGCTCTGTTATGAATATAAAACATTATATACCGTTATTAACGTTTTCTCCAAAACTATCTAAACTACTCTCCTCTTTCGATTCGCTCAGTGTATCAAAATCTTTTTGTCCCAATTCTTCTGGTTCATACGTAAATAATTTGTCGAGATCCTCCGAAATACTACTAGGTAAACATGAGAGGTCTTCAGATTCGAAGTTCATAGATTCCAAAGATTGCTCACTAGGTGAATTTAGTGTAGGTATGGAATCCGTGACTAACAAAATAATTATTTACAAAATTTTGTAAAAGATGCTAGAATAATTATTTATCATAATAATAATTGTCAACAAAGAACAAATTGCCTTTTTTGGAAACTGTCAAATAACGCTAATTTATAAAAATCTGTCAAAAAGTATCTATTTTTTGCACAAATATTAGGTGCAAAAATGACATACATATACTATAAGGAGGAATATAATGCCAGGAGGGGGAAGAGGAGGTTAAGGAAAGTTTAGCTCAACACGTGAATAAAAAATTAATTTAATTCCTTTTCAAGAATGATAAAAAAAAAGGTCAACTAAGTACCTTTCACATCTTAATACCTTTAATTTTTATTTCAATCGTAAATTAAGAAATTAATAATATTAACATCAATCAAAATACCAGTAATCATTAAAGACCTTTCATTTTTAACCGAAATTTCATTGTTTTGCATTTGATCAATTAGGTTCTTATAAAAGTTTTTAATGCAATCTAAGAGATAAACAAATCTAACTCATTTTTATTATCAAGGTATTCAAGTCTCGCTTTCTTCCTACTCCCATTTTTTTTAAATATTTTGAAAATTGTTGAGGTAGACTTGCGAAAGGGGGTGGGAAGCCTCATTATAAAAAGCCTTCGTCTCCATACCACATTTGGATAAGGCAGGGTTTTCTCTAGAAGCTTGACATAATTGAAAATGATGGTTTAAACAATACTGCTGAAGAAAAAAGGAGATCAAAAGGGATTCCACCGACCCCCTTCGATTCTTTTAAAATTTGATAAACCAAAGTTAATGTAACTAAGAAATAACCAAAATTTTAGCACCATAACATTTATATTTTTGGAGATATTAGGGTTCAAAGTGGCAAATGACGTATTTTTTAAATTATCTGGCTACATTAAATTAAAATATTTTAAAAATTATATAATTGTAAATAACAAATGTAACATCAAAATCACGTAAAAAGATTATACTTTTAGATAAAAAAAAAATTTTTTGTTTCTAATTTCCAACCATTTATTTATTATTTAATAAGTAAAAACAATTTTTTGGAAATAATACTACATTCAATTTTTATAAAAAAATTTAGTAGACATTTTGAAGCTCCTTTTTTATATTTATAAAAAAAATCGGTCCGGGACGTGACCAGCTTCATTCTCAAAATCGATAAAAATGATTAGAAAAGTTTATAAATAAAAATTATAATATTAATTATTTTTAATGGTTTTTCTTACCAAATTTGGTATAAAGGATTATTTATCTTGTAAGTGAATAAACAATCAACGAGGTCGGTTTTGAAAAATCGGTCATATCACAATATTTTTTAGAATAAAGTTTAGTAGTAATTATACATATATAAAACAAAAATATAGATTTTTCAATGGGTAACGTCAGCAATGCAGTATTAGTTATAGGATCGGTTATCGGTCAAAATCACAATATTTTCATATATTTCTTGGAATATTTTACATATATTTATATAGTGTTGTAAACGAAGAACGCGTTCGTGAACGATTTTTTTTGAAAAAAATGATGAGTTCCTTTTATTTTTGACGAACTTTGAACGTGAATTCCTTTTTTTGACGAAGGCGTTCGAATTTAACGTTCGTTCAATTTTAAAAACACATATTATTTTTATTTATTTAGAAAAATTTAATATTAATTCAAATTTTTTAAGAAAAAGTCTCATATTTTTTAAACAGCTGTTTTTCCTTTATCACATTTCAATTTTTTTAACAAGTCTATAGTTTATTAATTTGAATATTATTGTTTATATTTTAATTTAATAGATAAGTGTATGTATGGATATTATTATTTCATTATCATCCTCTGATTCTTAAAATATAAATCAGATGAATTAACATTGCCATGATCCAAATATGATAAATATTTTACAGTAACATCCTATATCATAGGAATTCAATACATACTAAATGAAAAATGTGCCCAAAAAGTTTTATATCAGTTTCAAAATCTTCAGATTCCAATTTAAAACGACATTTGATTGCAATATTAATTTTTATTATATATAATATAAGTAAGTAAAATCATTAAATTTAAAGAAAAAATGCATTTGATTATTTGACTCCTACAATAACGATAGTTATTTTAAATTAAAAAAATTAGTGGCCTTAAATATGATCAATCATTGATAGAAGCAGTATTAAATGAGATTAATAAGAGGTAGTAAGCCTATCAATATCAAATTAATTACATATATTTTTTTAAAGATTAGAACATATATATGAAGATCAATATGTTCTTTCTACAATTATACAACCAATATTCAAGCCTCAATGGCCATGGATAAAGCTTCCACAGAACGAGCCTAATAAACCTATAGCGTTATTGATAACCCTAGAAATCATAATGCAAGAACTGTTAATTTCGAGATATCCTTTTTATTGACTAGGAAGTAGAGAATGGATTGGAGGAGGCTAACTTATCTCAATTATTTGAAGCAAAGGGAAGAACAATAAATGTTTTTAATAAATTCCACGCGTTATAAGAGTTGTTTATTAAGTATAACACCGCAATCTCCTCATTTGTGTAGTGCGTGTTTTTAATATAGTTAATGTCGTATTAACTGCCAAACGTTTCTGTCTATAAGATTAAAATTTTGAAAAACAATTGTCATTAAAAATTAATTTTTTTATAAATAAAAATATTATTTATTTGCTATATTATATTGCATTTATGATTATATTGGCTAATATAATGTGTTAAAATATATGACATTTATTTATATTAAATTATATTTTAAAAAAAATTTATAATATTTTGAACGAATGTGAACGCGTTCCTCTTTTTTGAACGCGAACATGAAAGCGTTCGATTTTTTTAGAAATATTTATAGCACTATAATTATGACGACATTAAACAAAAATAAATATTTTTCAATGGATATCATGGAAAGCAGTAGTCATCGGCCGGTTTTGAGTCGGTATCCGGTCAAATTACAATTTTAAAAATATCTTGGGTGATAATGTTTTACACGTGAATATATGTATTGAAAACAAAAATGAAGAGATTTCTATCAATAACGCCAGCAATGTGTGCCTTAGAAGTTTGCGGTTATTTTCGATATTTCATAAATTAAATGTCAAAGAAGGCTATCATTTTTTTAATTTTTATATATGTATCTACACCTAAATATAAAAAAAAACGCTAACCAATAATCATTCGGGTTTCCTAATATGATATTTTAGCATTAAACACCCTCTTTTAGATATATATTCATTAAATTTGAGTTTAATAAGCCAATAAATATATTATTTTTCCATTAATATTAAATAAAAATAGTATATTAATAGATATTTTATCTATATTTTTATTTGATAAAAAAATTGAATAAAATATATTTTAAAAAATGTTTTTGAAAATTATTTTTTTAAAAAAATTATATAAAAAAAATTTGATTCTTCTCCGTAAGGGCGATTTCTATGTTTACCCAGTTTCTCCTCTGATTTTTCTTCTCCATTTTTGACGGTCCTGAGCATCAATATTTGTATATTTTCCAATTGCTTTTTAGCAATGCAGTATTTAATTATACAGTTAATATCTATAATAATATTTTTTTTAATTTTTAATCTTAATTATTCATTGTTCCATATAGCAATGCAAGTAAACCGATCTCTTAATTGTTTTTTTTTAATATTTATATATATGCTCTATATTTTTATAAACGTTAATTGATTTTATATGTTTTAAATTCTAAAATAAAATATATTAAAAAAATTATAGAAATAAAAAATATCGGATCTGTATTGAACGAGTATCTTGATCGGTGAAAAATATGCGGATTGGCACAGCCCTAAAAAAATAAAGTAACATTCTATTACTTAAAAGCAACTTAACGTCTGTCAAATATCCACAATTGATAACTAAGGTTTGATCATCTATTTCAATATTATACATGAATACATAATATTTTTTACAAATATTAAAAAAATTTAAAAAAAGTAGGCAGTAAAGTGAAATTTCCATTTTATAATATCAATCGGCATAATACCTTTAAGGGTAGAACTATCCGGAATGTTTTTCAATTGATCCGGTATTTGAAATACGAGGCATTCTGTATTTTGTTGAGGGTTAGTTATGTATTCCCAAAGCGTGAGAGCTATTAAATTATAACTCATCAACAATTCCGAACTCATAACGCGCCTTAAGAAAAGAGTTAGTGATTCAAGCGCCGTGTTGCAGATGTTTGTGTCATCATTGTCCAGATGATACAGAAGTAGTTGAAAAGTAATCTATATACAGTTGGTATAGTTAGGGTTCGAACCAAAAACATTTATTTAATGCATACAAAAAAATATTTCATGTTTTTATTACTTATCAAATCGATTTTTATGCGAAAATATTTGTATTACTTTCAATAATAAAATAAAAGTTGAATCTTCGTATTCCTCTGAAGCGTTATGCGGTGTAACACTGGGCGTACCGATTTTTTTTACTATCAATGTTTTGGAATATTTAGAAGGGTAGGATATAATGAAAGGATAAATTTCGAGCAAGTTTTTGATGCACAACAGATTCCCCAATATGAGATTCGTGTCTTGATTGTGTTGGTCTTGCACAGGCAGCAAGGATACTTTGAAAGAAAATTATGTATAATATTAATAAAAACTAATTACCATACATATAAAATTGAATATTTAAGTGAAGAGATTGGCAATTTAAAGAAATGCAAATTTTTATTATAAATCTTAATAAATTAGAAGAATTATTAATGAGATCCACTAAAATTACTATTCAATCAGGGTTGGGAAATATTGGGGATACTTATATCTTTTTTAAACTTTTTATCTTGTCTACGATACAAATTATAAAAATATCTGTATCTTAATCAATTGCATTCAAGATACAAATCCTTTAAAAAAATTATATTAGTTAATTTGAATGTAAAATTTAATCCGAGTTTAGATATTTTAAGATAAGGTAATATATGATGTTAGTCGTCATATAATAATTTTCTAAACAACCCATATTTTCTTAAAATCGTCACACCTCCATTCATATAATTATAGAATCGGAAAATGAAAACAATAATGCTACACAAGGATTATATATTGCAAATATATATTAAGCATATTAACTAGAAAATTTTTTGATGTCGCCCAACATGAACATACCAATAATCTACATACAATGTAAAGAATGCCATAAATTTCTCTTAAATACAAAAATTTTTAAAGCTTCTGTATCCGGATACAATTTTCTGAAAAATTTTCCAAACCCTGCATTCAATGCTTACAAAGGATAACATTTTTAAAAATTTTGTGCTTTCATTTAATTCATTTTTTAAATAAAATCTTAATAACTATTTCGCTCGGAATAAAAACTGAAACGCTCAAAATTTTTTTCCTTCATTTCTTTAGTATGTTAAAAAGCTTTGGAACTAGGGCACCCTATTTTAGCTTATTTTAAGTATTGGTGTCATTGTTAATTTTTATATTTTATTCTCGTTTTTTTGGTTTCCTTCGTTTAAAAAAAATTTCTTTGCTTTTTTGGCTATTTAATCGATATTAAATAGCCGGTTATTAAGTAATAAGTTAACCTAGGATACGGCCTTGGAGATAAGAATTTTTAATGAATTTCACAGATGTTTTTCTTAAATTCGAAGAACATTTTTTACTTTGAGCGTTACATTTTATACCTGAGCAATTAGTATTTTTTCTGAACAGTTTAGTTTTTTATCTGAGCATTAAGAAATAATTCTGAGCATTCATTATTTACTTAGTGTTAAGTTTATATTATAGATGTTAAATAATTTTTTTCTAAGCATTTCAATTTTAATTCTAGCATAATAGGAGCCTATGATAATAAAATGATTATGTATTCAATAGGATCATATAAAAAACGTTCGTTAAATCTAATTCTATAATCAAAATAACAAATAAATCATCTCACTTAAAAGTTTAGTCAGAAGATCAACATAAAAAATTTTCGGATATCTGGAATGTTTTACAATAACGGACAAAATTTCAGCAAAAATCCTTTTATTGGCGTTGGATAAATTTGACGATGCGTAGAAATTGTTAAGTATTTCCTGAAATATAAGAAACGTAAAATTGAAGAAATTTCTATACATAAAGAATTGATTAGAAATAATCATTTGTATTTTGTATAAATTTAAATCATGAGAAAAAAATATAAGCAAAATAGAGAAGATCAAAAAATGCCTAGTCCAAATTCAATATAAGCGTCTTCGCCAAGTTATCGGGTCCTTAGTGAGGCTGAAAATAAATGATTGGAAGGAAGGGTAATTTTTTCTACATTTATATCAGAAACCTTCCAGGATCGGATATTCTGGGTCGTCAGAGATTTTAAAAATAGGTCTCCAAAAACATAGAATATTACACCAGGGTTAGGCCGAGCCTAAAAATAAAATTATTAACCCGGATCATTAAAAACTCAGTCGGATTTGAATAATTCCTTTTAAATTTGGACTGGGCCTCAAAATTTGATCTCTACAGGTCTTTGATTTATATATGTTAGAGTCAAAACATTTTTTCCGGCATTGTGTTATTTTTTCAACTTTAAATTATTTTTTGAGCGCACTTTTAAAAATTTAAAAATCTGATTTTACCGGAAAAGTATTCCATCATGTTAGGAATACCTACCCTATGAATTTCTGACAATTTTCCCATGAACTTTTAAATTTAATATAATTTATAGATTTTTCATATATTTTTTATATAAATTATTAATGACTCAAAGGTTAACAGCAAAATTGCTTATAATTCATGATGGGGTATTCTAAATATGATCAAATATATTTCCGGTAAAATCCGATTTTTAAATTTTAAAAAACGCACTCAAAAAATGATTTAAGGTTGTAAAAATAACACATTGCCGGAAAAACACATTGACGCTAACACATATAACTCAAGCATATTTTAAGTCATAATCTTACCTTTGTTTCCATCATATTAGCGTATTTTCCTGTTATAGGCATCACAATAATTAAAAATTCTTTCAATGCCTCCTGAATAATCTCTTCGGGTCTTTGAGATATAAGAATCAATGCCGGATAAAGATGTGTTATATAAGCCCTGTTAATATCATACATAAATATAACTTTAAATTTTGTGTCTTTTCTAATCAAACCATAAATAATTTTAAATATTTTTTCATTACCATATAAAACAAAAGTCAATAGTCTAAATTTATCAGTTATTAAAGTAGCGCACCAGATAGCGGCAGTGTGCTCTTTATCGAATGAATAAATTTACTTTAAAAATTACTAAAATTTATTTATAATTTCATAATTAATTTCTAAACTAAAATTTAATTTAATTTTGAAATTTATATTTCAAAATAAGCATTTAAATCTAATTTATCAAGTAATTTAAAATATAAAATTCCGCCAACAGAGATAGATATTGAGACAGATAATAACATAAATTTCTAGAGAATGATATCGGAGAATTTTCTTTTATCAAATTTGCAAATATTTTGTAATACAGGAATTAAATTTAGAGGCATAAAATGTAGGATAATATCATCCCATAAATCAAAAAGCTTCAACCTAAAAATCATCTAAAGCTATTATTCATAAATTATAATAAAATTATTTATTTAAAATATTCAAGCCTCGAATTTCAGAAAGATTAGAAAATGCCTCAATAATTTTGGTGCAATAATCCAATAAATTATGGAAAGAAAATAAGTGCAAACCTATTTATAAAAACATTTTCAATATCTTATTAAATTCTTAAATTATTTAGAAAAAGATTCATCGTGCTTTGAAGTCGAGATTTATAAAGCTTGAGTCAGCTCAATACTCCTCTTCATTAACATGACATCACCATCAGATAATATTACCTAGATCAACATTATATAAAGTAAATAAGATCATAATATAAATTAAAACATTTTCTACTAAAATCCCATTATTAGTTGGTTCCTTTTATTGAATTGATTTGTATACCCTTAAAGTTAAGATTTATAGTAGAAAACAATGTTATATTTAATTAAATTATGTGAAATGCTACAATTTCATATTTTTTAACCTCGTTAAAGTTAAGAGATGGTTTTTTTTCCTAACATGATCAGTTTTTGCCATCCCTTTTACTTTGATAGAGATATTATTTATTTATTAAACACCTATTATTTGTTTGATGTTTACGCATTGTTTGAATTTGATTTGAAAGTAAATGTCTAAAGATGAAAAACTTTTTCGCATTCTTTGAGCTCATTGCCCTTGAGTGTTGTGATGAAAACAGGGCTATGTATAATTTTTCTCGTGCTCATTAAACTGGGACAATTTAAGGAGTTAATTTAAATAAGAAGAATCATCCACCAATTTTGAGGGCTGAAGATATGTATATACACAAGGTGAAAGGTTCCATGTTTAACGCTTATGGGCAATAAGAAGATAGAGAAAAACCCCAGACAACTTTAAATACAAACCTGTTGCACAATCAAAACGTGATAAAAGAACATCAATCATATAAACTAAAACAATATTCAGGCGCACTTGCGGAGCATTATTTATCCTAATCATCATATTAATTTAAATAATTGCCTTGTCCATAATAAGGAAATGATTTTACTCAATCAAAAGACTATAGAGTAGAAATAGCCAAAAACTGAAATAATTATAACAGGGAAGATTGATATAATCTTCCTAGTGAATGGAAGAGCTTATTATCTTGTACTTAACATTATTACATTTAACATCATTTATCTTTTGTTTATTAATTTTAGAATTTCTTCTTTTTTGTCTAAATTTTTATTTTATTAATTATTTAATTACCTTGAAAATGATAACTAATATGTTATTGAAACGTTGGATATAATATAAATATTTTTTCTATAAATGCATATTGCCATAAAATCACCCAAATATCGCCACTGTGAAAGATTGCCGGAAAATATAAAGGTAATTTATTAAGGTATCTTAAAAGTATCAATGTAATAATTAATTCATATTAATTTAAATAAAGATTAATGAATAAAATGTGATGATTTAAAAATATTAAATTAGGTATTTTTTTAGGAACGTTCCAAAGCCCGGAACGGAACACTTTTATTTAACCGAAACGCAAAAATAATGTTGCTTTGAACCCCTGATATTATCATATAACTTTTAAATCAATTATATTGCCTTAAAATGTTTTTAAAAAAACACCTTTTATTGCATTAAAACATTCCCGCCATTTTTTATACATCATTCGTGATAGGAAATTAAGTAGCTGAACAAATAATTAATTAGAGTTCCTAGTATTTTGAAAATTTAATTTTAAACTTTCAACTAAACATGATGACTGTAATGATTATTTTTCCTCTTTGTTTTTTCCTTTAATTATTAATTGCCTTAGTTATAAATATATAATTAAATATTCAAATCAATTTATTTTTAATTAATAACTAATTATATAATAGCATAAAGGGTATATTTTTTAACTTAAATCCCCTTTACTTTAGATAATATAATTGCTTAGAAGCTAAAATTGCTAGAACATATAGGATGCTTAGACATTTCTATCGAAATTGAATGAGATGGGCTGTGAGGTGTTTGATTTGAAATGGAATAGAATGGTCCATGGGAATCATGCAAGGATCTCATAAATTCTAAATGCTGTTATAAAGATGAATGGCAATATAACCAAACATTAAATTCAATAGGACGATTATTTATGAATGATATATGAAAATTGAAGTAATTTATAATTCGCTTTTATATTTTATTTCTGAAGGTATTTTTAATTTTTAATGTATTTTAACATTATTCATAAAAATTACTAAAATTTTAAAACTTTATATTTTTAATATAAATATATATATCCGAGACGAGCAAGGCCCAGTCCTGGTTTGTAAAAAAAAAATTACCCAACCCGGATTTTTTTTTAAATTATTTTTTGGCCTGCTCCGGTTCTTATGTTTTCAAGCCTGACTTAGTCCTGTAATTTTTTAAAAAATTTCGACACAGGTGTATAAAAATATTTTTTTTACAACGCAGGTTCCAAAAATAAATTTCAGCCAGGGAAATATATACCAATTCGATATCTTACGGTTAATTTAATATGAAATCATTTAATATCTAATTACTTTTAAAATTATCTTGCCTATTATAAAATGAAGATTATTTTTCATTTGATAAGTACATTTGTGTTCTTTGGCGAAATGTATTTTATTTTGTAATGTTGTGTTAAATTGACTAAAAATAGGGTAAATTTATTTTATTGCTAAAATTTAAGGTTCTAAAATTGGGGTACATTTATTGTATTGCTAAAATTTTATGTATTTTTATAATTAAAATTTTTTATATTTGCTATCCAGATATTTTATATCACTAAGCACAAATAAACATTTTTGACCATATTTCATCTTTTAAGCAAATTTAAATTGAATAACTTTAAAAACATGGATTGTTTTTGATGTGAATGAAATTATTTCAATCACGAAGACTAGATGACAAGCTATGCTTGGGTAACCAATTTTCAAAAAAAAAAATTGCTGTTAGGTATAATATTTATACATTATTGAGGTAAAATCTCAATATAACATTTATTAATTCTTAAAATAAATTTTATATAAATATTTTACAAAAATATTTTAAAATATTCCATCAATTATTTGATAGGGGAAGAATGTAGTGATTGCAATTTTTATGATAAAGCCCAAATTTAATATTCTTTCCTTTCCCTAAATGGGCCATAGTGATTTAAAAATTATGGATTGTAGCCAATTAAATACCCATTGCCACATCTCAAAGAAAAATAGTTTTGTTACATGTTTTTTATATATTATTTTTATATAGTTTTATATTTTTTCATGAGAAAACTATATTATTTTTTTTAAATTTGCTTATAAAATTAGTAATATTAAATTATTTCTTTTATTCTTTTAAGGATAAAAGCCTTTAATATGAAAATTTAAGGGCAATATCATGTAAAATGTGGGAATTTAAATATATTCAAATAAAAATATAATAATTAGTCGCTCTCTAGATCAATAACTATTTTATAAACCTAGACAGTAAAAAACATAATAAAATAATGTGGTTAGTTATATTGTTTATTTGTAATATTACTTGTATTTGATTATATTGTAATTGTTTAAATGGTAATTATTTTTTTCTATAGTTTATGTAATTTTTGATAAAAATAAGTCTCATAATAACTATTTTATTTACCTAATAAAGTAGAGTGTATATGTATAAATAAAAATTGTATGATTTGATTAAAAATAGAAATAATAGGAAAGTGAAATGTTATATAACATTCTGATAATTTAAATATATATTTTTTTATTGTAATATAACCCAACCCAGGTGTAGATCAAAAAAATAATATGGGCTAAACTGGGTTGTTTAAGACAGCTTATTCTGGATTATTTAATTTTTTATACAGCCCAGCAAATATACCCTGGCCTGGCTGGTTTTGGTCCAGACCTGTAGATCTCTGATATATACTATATGAAATTAATATTTAGTCTAAATTGAGTATTATTCTTTTTAACAAAATTTCAAAATGCATATAAAAAAAACAAAAAAAATGTGAATAGATAAATATATATGAAGTTAGGTCAGGGATGAATCCTCCTAAAAAATGGGTGGTTTGGGTTCAGTGAAAAATCTCTGAACCCAGTTTGGGTTCAGGGTTTGGAGACCAGAAAAATAATGACTTATATTAGTTAAAATAATAGGAACATCATTTTTTTTTAAATTTATTTTAATTAATTTAAAAATTTTTAAGAAAAATAGTCGACTTTAAATATAACAAAAAAAAATATTTTTTTAAAATTAAAAAATTTTTTTGTTATACACCAAAATATATGCCTTGTTAATTATTTTTTTTATAAAAGTGTTGATAATTACATTACTTCTAACAAGTTACTTTAACAACACAAATCTCTAGTTTACATATTTAAAGATAAGTTTCTTTATTGATGTTTTTTTGTATTAATACTTCATTTGTACCTGAATTTTTGTTTGCGAACCAATTTGAATAGATATGCAAATCTGATGAGGCATGTCTTCAAAGATTTAGTTAGTCCATTATGTTTAATTTCCTTGAACAATTCTATTTGAATACGACTAATATAATCAACGTGAGACTAAAATTTAAAAAATTGCTAGATAAGAATTTGAAGCAATAATATTCATTTTTTTATATTTGTACAATATATTTAATTAACTAATTAGTATATTTAATAAATTATTATAATCCAATGCTTTCTCAGACAAGAGTATTTCAAAGTTTATGCAATAAGAAAAGAGCCAGAAGAAATTATTTCGTAAATCAAATAACAATTATTTATTTAAATTAATATACAAAATTATAAAGAGTTTAAACTTTAGATAGAATTGTGAAACAATCTTCAGCTTTTAACCTAACATCTGCTTCAGCATCATTAAAATAAAATATATAAGATTCACAGATTTTACTTAAAATAGATAAATAATTGCCATTGTTACTTCTAATAAATAGTAAATTGTATATATATATAAAACAATTTATAACTTCTCGATATGATTATGAAGAATATCATTTAACGCTCCTAAGTATTTAATTTTCTCAAACTTTTCCAATTTTTTTCTAATAATTTAATAAAAGAATAGGCATCAAAATAATTTACCTTTTTATATCAATATTCGGTTTTAGTAAATCTAATACCTTTAGTAATTTTTCAATTGAAGGCATATCTCAATTCTAATAAAATCCTACTTCTAAAGGGTTATTTTTTTATTAGTCCAAAGGCATATGTTTAATATGATACAACTAAGCTAAGAATTTAGTAAAGTGAGAATTGACAAGTATAAATAGAATGGACAGGTCAAATATATCAATAATATTTTTATTTAAGATTTATTTTATTTTATTTAAATCTATATTATATTTTTATTTATATAAATTAAAATTTTTATTCATTCAGATTAGTAATATTTTAAATATTATTTAAATGCATTATATTTATAGATTGCAAATTAACATTTTATAATGAATGACTTAAAATTTGTACAAGAATAAAAAAATATTTTAAATCATTGTAAAAAAAATTTTAAGATAGAATATATATTTTGATATTTAAACTTGATCTATAAATAAAATAAACTTAACAAATGTTATTTACTTGTTTGATATGAAATATGAACTATACTTAAAAGAATCTGCCATGCCAATCACCATTTTCGTTAATTTTGTTATGAAGTTATCCGCATGCAAACCTACGCATTACCTATTACAGGTAAGAATAGTTTCATTTCCGCTGCATCAAATCATAGAAGCCAAGTTGGAGACTACTAGATAAAGACGTCATCGAAAAGGTGGATCCTGTAGCAGTTCCAATTATTTCGGCGGACGTAAACGGTAAATATCTCTAAAAAATCTAGGCATATGCGGAGATTTTCTTATAACAATTTATCTAATGATAGCAATTTACTACCAACTTTCGTCGCCCTAACTAAAAAGATCGTAGGTGGCTATATATTTTTGACGATGGATTTAAGAAATAGTTCAATTCGGAGTTAATGTAGAGGCCTTCTAGTAATTTCAACTTCTGTTGGTTATTACATAAGTCTAAGAATCCCTTCTGAGTTAACTAGGGTATCAATAATATTTCAACGCTTTATAAACCTGATAAAGTGGTCAGTGTTTTTTTAGACGATATAATGATTTCTGAAAAGAATTAATTAATGTTTAAAAAATGTAATGAAAATTATGAATTATGTTTTATAAAAATAATGAAATGAAAATTATTAATGTGAAATATATAAAATGAAGAATTGACAAATTAAATATGAAGAATAATGTGTTGAAATAAATAGGCAAATCCCAGATATGATAGTAAGGATTAAAATAAATAAAGTTAGATATTGAACATGTGCTAAAGAAATAAATTTTTAAAAAGAACAATAATGTTAAAAGTTGATATATATATTACTTATATGCATAGGCGTAGCCGGGGGGGGGGGGGCAAGGGAAAATCCCCCCTTCAGAAATTTATTACTTTTTGTGAATATCATTTTAAGCCAATAAAAATTATCCACTTTAGTTCTCCCCCTACTCCCTGACCCTCTAAAATGTATGCATATATCTTAAACAATAATTTGAAAGAAAGAATGTAAAAGTTGATATTTTTTTATAAAACTATTTATCATAATTTATAAATTTTTGGAAAAAAGCATTTATATATAAAAAAAGTGAACCAAAAATATTTTTTTAACAAATGGAATATAAGCCAAAGATATGTCTTAAGACAAAAGTGAAATGTATTATAATTATTAATAAATAATAATATATCCATAAAATTACTAAATAATATAATATATAAAATATAATTTTTTATAAAGTGAGTAATTTTTATTTATTTATCTTAAAAAGTAATATATAATTATAAAACTATTGATAAAATTAAATAATAAATTTATTTAAAAAAATAAACCATAATACAAACAGTGGAATATTATATGTCGTAGATTTACACTATATCTAATTTTATCAATTATCATATGACAATCAAATTTTTACCAATTTAGCGAATTATATATTTTACAGAAAACTATAAAATATTGTTAAGGACATAAGAAAATATGTTTTAAAGACATTGTAAGATGGATAATATGAAGATTAAATTTTAATACAATTTTTTATTTAAAATAAATAGATGGCGTTAAATAATTTAATGCAAATTGTTGCTATATTTATTATCAGGAGCATTGATTAGTAAAATTTGTTAAAATTTTAACTGTAATATTTCTCTAACTGTCAGATAGGTCTGTAAAAGTGGAATTTTACCTAGTATTTTGTAACTTATTCTATATGATAGAATAATATTAACTATATGTCTACTTACTTTTTATAAATAATTTTCTTATACTTGTTTGGAATAAATTATTACCATGCTTTTATATTAATTTATATAGTAATATATTATATTACTTGTATAAACTAGTAAAAATATATTTCATATTTGTTCCAGGCTTATTTTTTTTATTAAAATTAACCTCCTATCTTGTAAAAATATTTTATGACTATATATAGACTAAGGTAACCAGAATTGCCATGTCTTCCCCCATCAGCGGGAGACTCCCACAATTTTTTAGTTTACACGCAAACATCTCACTCCCGCAAAACTACTGCAATTTTTTAATATCTCCCGCACAATTTCTTTTTAGCATTTTAACGTTTTTATTATATAAATAATAATTTTGAGAGACAGTAATTGATTATTTATATATTTTTAAAAATGTTAAATATTTATTCGAAAAACATGTCTAGTTTGTAAATTTCTTTCTATCCTGTTTAATTTTTATCCAATAATAAATCAACATCATTCATTTCATTCATATTTTATCATTTTAAGTGAGTTTGTATATAACAATATAGGGCTTGGCGCTTAATTAACACATTCAGGTTAAATTAGATATATAATAAAATAATATTATACTAATTTCAATGATACTGATATTTATTTTATTTATTATAGTTCAATCACATTATTAATAATACAGATGCAACTACAGTTGCGGAAATAATATAAACCCATCCTATCATTACAATATGGGTCGAATATTTTCCCAATATTATTTAACGACTCCAATATAAATTTAAACTTTATTGTTGTAGAAAAAAAATGAGCAAGGCTATCACAAATGTTTTATGACCTGAATCCAAGAGGTCAATTCTAGACGATTTAAAAGGTTGACATCCATATACAATTTTAACAGATGCATCTAATAAGGGAAATATTAATACATTTCCCTTTATCCTTTGCTATTTCAACAAGAATAAGGGTATTTCAATAAAACTGTTAAAAAAATTACCTCGGATAGTAAAAAATCATACAATATAGCTAATCACATAATGGTAAATAGAGCTAACTCCGGGTTATCAATGAGTTGCTTGTCAGCTTTCTGCTCTGATAATACCTCTGTGAAATTTGTCAAAAACCAATGTGTATTTACCGAATTGAAACAGCACAATATATGCCATATACTACATAATTCTTGCTAGAAGGCAATGAATGTATTATCTATGGATGTCGAAAGATAAAATGTTTTAACGAATTTAGTTCATCAACTAAAAAAGGAGTTTGTGGAGTGGTCTGACTTGGAATGGTGTGAGTTTTGCGACATGTCCCTATCAGGTGGTTATCATGGATAGAATTTTAAAATTTTACGAACCTTTAAAAATTACTTCTTAAATAAAGATTATAAATGCTGCCCTGAAATTTTAAAAATTTTTTCGAGGATGAAATGACAGAAGCATATTTAGGAATGATTTCATATGTAGGAAATCTACTACATGCTATTAATATTCAATTGCAATCAGAAGAATTTTTATTAATGAAGATTCACAAAATTATGTTGCAGCTGTGTTCATCTTTACAGTTAAAAATTGATAATAAATTTTATGTCGCTATTGCTAAAAATATTATATTAAAATGTTCAAATAATACTCTAATTAATATATTTTTAAAAGAAGCAATTTTTATTAAGACAATTTTAGAATATTTGCAATCAAAATCGATTTTAATAATTCTATTTACAAATATATAAATATTATGACCTTGGAACAGAAACCTTCAATTGATGGTTTTATGATTTAATAAATATATTTAAAATACCGTTAAACATTGATGTCTTGTTTTAGGAGATTGTAATTCTCTCTAAATTTTATGATTCGCCAGAATATTTAAAGTTAAATGATCTAAAAACAAAGGAGGAATGGGTAGAATTTTTTCTTAATAACGATAAATCCCCATGCTTGGAATGAAGAAGCGTGTATGTTTTCTCTTTACCTCGACTGCCTGGAGAAAGGAAAGAAATCGGATTGCTCTAACGTCATTAGAGGCTGAGCTAATGGTTAAACAAAATTATAAATGCCGTGCCAACTATTTTATAATATATGTCATTGGTCTGATGAGATTCAGAGATGGGAGAGAGGGAATTAGACAAAATCATTACGATAGGGTAGAGCCTGGAAGATTAAGATGGTCCTAGTAAACCTTAGCAATAAGTAGTAGAATTATATTTGGTAATAATGATTGGGAAAAATCGAATAAAACTATCTAACTATAAACCTGAGATGATTAAAGGTAAGCCCAATATTGTTTGATTCCATGGATATGATTGTGATCATCACCGGTGTAACCGTGGTTATTCCCGATTCCAACGCAATCTGTAATATTGGGCAACCTAACTAAAATAAAGAAATTCAAGGAAATAAGGATCCAAAGATACCATGGAAGAAACTATAATTATAGGAGGCGGTTGGAGTTGGTAATCGTCTTATGAAATGAAAGCTAAGGCAAAAATCATTGGAGGAAATAGGAGCAGTGGCTACATGACAAGATTTTTATTGGATGCAAACCCCACTCAAAAACCTAAGCCAACCCCCCCCCCTTCCCCTAAAAAATTACCGCCACATTCGAAGGCGATGTTTCATATTATTAATTGCACCTTTATAATAAAAATGGTACTCCTTTCATAAATTTTAAAATAATAACTTACATTATTTTAGCTCTACTACTAACTATAATAATATAGTTTTTTGTTTGACATGATTATTAGTTTGCTGAGTAATCCTTTTAAATGAGTTTTATTTGGAAAATAATGTCTAACATTATTTTAGCTCTACTACCAACTATCAAAATATAGTGTATTGTTTGGCATGAAAATATTAATTTCATAAGGATAGTAAATTTTTTTATTTGGAAAATAATGTCTATGATTGTTTAAAATATATAGATTTGATCGATGTTCAGCTATATCATTATATTATAATAAAAGTATTAATTTTTATAGCAATATATTTTGTCCTATCAATAAATTTATCCTAACCCCCCCCCCCCACAAGCGCCTACCCCCTAAATCTCTTAAACAAAATTGAATGTAAACTATCCCCCCCCCCCCAGATATTTGAATTTCAATTAATGGGGGCTTGATGCAGATTTCTTTTTATTAAACACTAATTTTGTTTGTTCATGTTTATATTTGGCGTGGTATATCATTTTTTTATTTTAATTCTGTCAATTCATTCATTTATTTTTGATGAACAATTTTAATTATCAGGTTATTTTTGTTTGCAAAAGAAATAAAAATGTAGTAATTAAATTGTTAATGTTATATTTTTTTTAGATTATAAAAAATTGTAATAAATTTATTTTTAAAATGTAAGAAAATCCAAATAAAATCAATATTTTTCGGGATAGGAAATTATTTTTCGTTGTAAAAAAATTATTTTAGTTTCACAGATTATTTCTGTTATGTTTAAAAAAAAGGGTTAATTTAGGAAATCAACAAAAAAAAGAAGACAATTTGAAGAAAAAAAGGAATTAGTACCATAGAAAATAAAATATATTAATAGTCAAAATAGAAAAGACAAAAAGGTAAAATCCACTACCACATATATTTTAATATAGATATACATTTATAAAAGAAATATAATAACCGAACCAAAATACGATAAGATAACACACATTCAGTTTTTTTAATACTAATATATAAGTTTAAATATATTCATTATTCCTTTTCTATAAATATTTACAATATCTAAACATTTCAGGTTACAACCCTTTGTTATTGCATAGATGAGGTATCTATCTTTACGAATGCAAAAATGGGATTGATAAATAATATTGTCATATTACTATTGAAATAAGCAATGGCGTAATATATATAGGACGGAATATTGGAATAAAAATTAATATTTCCCTTTATTACCAGTCGAATAATACAATATTAAACATGTATGTATGTAAAGAAAAATGGTATCTAAATGCAATATCGATCAATTTCAAACAATCTATTAATAAAAACCAATTAGGTTAAATAAAAATATTTATTTTTAACAAAATTAGAAAAGATTTAATAAATAGTGTAATAAAAGTTAATATAAATAAATTAAATTAAAAAAAATAACTACTTGATTTATTTTAACTAGCTTATGCCAAGTATTAGTTCTTAGTTAAAATTAATATGACCTTAAGAAAAATAACAGGAAATAGAATAAAATCACAAAAATATAATATCAATACTTATTTATATCGATATTATTTGATACATCCAATGATATCATTGGATACATCATACCGAAAGAAGTGTTTGTTATTTTATTTTTTATATGATTGGGCTTTTTTTATCGTAATTGCATTATTTTATTGATAAATGACGTGTTCTTTTATTGCTCTTTCTTTAGCGTTATTTTTTAATTTAATAATAATTTTATTGGCAGATAATCCAATATATTTTTATATAGCTGAAACTCAAAAAAAATGCTTTATTGAAGAAATTCCTGATGAAACTAGAGTTGAGGGTAATAATTTCTAATAAATATTACTTTATAACTTATTTACAAGCATTGATTTATTTTTAAAGGATATATCCCTCTTTATTTTAATGTGTTACTAATTACAATTGAATTTAATTTATGTCTTAATTTTGAATTTCTAAAATGTATATGAATAATTCATCAAATTTTTTCTTTTAATTTATTTATAATATAATTGTTATAATTTTACCATCTTCCTTTTTTTTTATATACAGGATATAATAAAATGATTTGGAAATTAAATTTTGAATGATTTATAATGTAAAATTAGCTTAAAATATGACTTTATTTTTGATGAATAAATTATTCAATAATTTTAAAATTTTAGGTATCTACAAAATTGAGGTCATAGATCCCCAAACAAAGAATTTTATTGTGTCTCCTCAAGGTATTGGAATGCATATTCATGTCAATGATCCTGATGGGAAAACAATAATGTCTAAACTCTATAGTTCTGCTGGACAGTTTAGTTTTACATCTGAAACACCTGGTGAGCATGTTATATGTTTGCATTCAAATTCCACTAGACACACATTGTTTGAAAGGCAAGAACTGGTAAAATTATTTTCAACATATTATATCTACAATATTTTAGAAAGTATATCTAAGAATAAACATTGGTGAACACACTATTAATTATGCTGAAGCAACCAAAAAAGAAAAGTATACAGAACTAGAACTAAGAATTCGACAACTTTTGGATCAGTTAATTCAAATTGCCAAAGAACAAAATTATCAAAGGGTTAATTAACCTATTTTGAGTTATATTTCAAATAAATTTAGGTTAGGGAAGAAAAATTTAGAAAGACAAGTGAAAGCACTAATCAACGTGTTTTGTGGTGGTCAATTTCCCAAATATTTGTTCTTGTTATAACAGGAGTATGGCAAATGAAACATTTAAAAAGCTTCTTTGAAGCAAAAAAATTAGTTTAAATTATATTGTAAGTTGTAATTTATTATATTATAATATGTGTATTATATAAATGCGACTGATAATGATGAGTAAAATGAAGAACAAAAAAATTTATTGATTCATCTAATTAGTATTGAGTCTATTACATATATCATTTGCATTATCTATATTAGAATTAGTTTTGGTTTCAAACTCAACAGTCATATCAAGATTTAACATACATAATTTTGCTAAAACTAAATATATAAAAATAAAATAATATTTACTTCTGATTTCCATAAGCTTTAACTTTGTTTCTGCCATTTCATCAAAGCATTTGTCTATACGATTTTGATATTCTTTGTACCAATTTTGATTCATTAGATATAATGCAGACGATTTTTATAAATTGAAATGGATCAATATATTAATACATAAAAACAGGTGTGACTAAAATAAAAATCCCCATAAACTACGAATCCTCAATTATTATACCCAAAAATAAATATAGAATATCTTTAAGATTATTCAGAAAATTTTAATTTTTTGAAAAAGGCTTAATAAGATTAAAGAGATCTACCTTTCTAAATATAAGACTGATCAAAATATACATTTATTATAAGAATATAAACTGTAGTGAAAAATAAACCTTAAACCAGGACAAATGCATGAACAAAAAATTCTTTTATAGTTAAAAGGGTGTGACTAAAATGTGAATCCTTAACTGGGTATGACTAAATACTGTGTTGCTAAAAGCAATTAATCATAATCAATCATAATTTGATTATATAATATCTTTTAAAAAAAAATTTTCAAAAACATTTTTTTTATTTTACATAAATCAATTTTTAATTAAGTAAAAAATTAGATTAAAAATATAAAATAATTTAAAATTCTATTTTTACTTAATATTATTGAAAACAAAATGTATTTACTAGCTTTTTACAACTTAAATTTTATTTTTCAATTACAAAATTTAACAAATTTTGGGCGTTAAATGCATAAATATGAAAATATATTCTTAGGAAACCAGAATAAATATTGGATAGCTTTTTTTGTATTTTGGTGTAAATACATGTGAAAAACCTAAAAATTTAAAAATAGAGGTTTCTTTGACATTTAATTAATGAGTAGGTTTAGAATCGAAATAGCAAGTTTGTAAGGAACATATTGCTGGCGTTATTGATCAAAATCTCTTCATTTTTGGTTTATAAGTGTAAAAAATATTATGATTTGACAGAATGCCAAATTCAAAACCGACCACTTACTAAATTTTGATCGACCAAATTTGGTATTAATATTATTTGAAAAATGATCATTTTTGGTTTATTTATCTATATATACGTGTAAATCATTATCCCAAAAAATATTGTGATTTGATAGATAACCGATTTGAAACTGACCTCATGACTAAATACTGCGTTGCTGGCGCTCTCCATGGTAAATTCTTCATTTTTGGTTTATGAACAACAAGGGTTAAGCATTATCCTAAATAATTTTTTGAAAATATTAAGATTTGACCGAGTGGCGAGCTCAAACCCGACCACTTACTAAATATTTGATAGACTAAATTTGGTAGTAATATTATTTGAAAAATGTTTATTTTTGGTTAATTCATCTATAAATACGTGCAAATCATTATCCCAAAAAATATTTTAAAAATATCGTGATTTGACCGATAACCGATACTGCGTTGCTGGCACTCTCCATGGAAAATTCTTCATTTTTGGTTTATAAGTGAACAATAAGGTGTTAAGCATTATCCTAAATAATTTTTTGAAAATATTAAGATTTGATCGAATGGCAAGCTTAAAACCGACCACTTTAAATATTCGATCGACCAAATTTGGTATTAATATTATTTGGAAAATGATCATTTTTGGTTTATTTATCTATAAATACGTGCAAATCATTATCCCAAAAAATATCGTGATTTGACCGATAACCGATTTGAAACCGAAATACTGCGTTGCTGGCCCTTTCCATGGAAAATTTTTCATTTTTGGTTTATAAGTGAACAATATGGTGTTAAGCAATATTTTAAATATATTTTTTGAAAATATTAAGATTTGACCGAATGCGAGCTCAAAACCGACCACTTACTAAATATTCGATCGACCGAATTTGGTAGTAATATTATTTGGAAAATTTTCATTTTTGGTTAATTTCTCTATAAATACGTGCAAATCATTATCCCAAAAAATATTTTAAAAATATCGTGATTTCACCGATAACTGATTTGAAACCGAAATACTTCATTGCTGGCGCTCTCCATGGAAAATTCTTCATTTTTGGTTTATAAGTGAACAATAAGGTGTTAAGTATTATCCTAAATAATTTTTTGAAAATATTAAGATTTGACCGAATACCGAGCTCAGATAATCTTAATTATAATAAATTTTTAATCTCCAAAAAAAATAATTTCTATAAAAAATCATCCCTCCCCTCACCTCCATCGAAAATTCTTGGGTGCCTGTTATTTTATTAATATTTTTTATATTAGATTAATAGAGAAGCCATCTCCTGAGGGGTCCAGTCGTTTGTGGGAATGGTAAATTATTACCATTGCGGGAAATAGGTGCTCCTTTATATGAATTATTAAGGAAAGGGGTACATTTTGAATGGAAAGAGGAACAAGAGATTGCGTTCAAAACGTTAAAAGAGAGAATTGGGAAAGAGCCCTTTCTGGTGTGTTTTAATAGTGATTTTTAAGTAGTTTTGGCTGTAGATGCATGTAATAGAGGAGTAGGTGGGGCGATGTTGCATCTGATAGATGGAATAGAAAGACATGGTTTATTTTTCTCGAGAGGTAGAAAAGCGATATTCAGTGAGGAGGCTTTGGCTGTGATTTTTGGGTTAGCGAATGTCGCGAATACCTTATAGGTAGGAAGTTTGTTGTTTTTACAGATCATTAGCCCTTGATACATTTATTTAAAAAGGATAACAAAGAGTTTATGTTATCGCCTCGACTTCAGCGATGGTTGTTGTTAGTAGGAAGTTTTGGATTTAAAATATCAAAGAAGAAAAGAGAACCAGATACCCGATACTTTGTCGAGGTTAGGTGCGGGCGAAAGTTTGGATGAATCGGTGGTTTTGAAAATTGATAATCGGGAAGAATGTCTGGTACGTACGGTAATGCGAAGTATAAAGGGTAGCCCAACGACATGGGAAGACATACAAAAGTTTACAAGGAAGAGAATTACCGGTAGTTAAATTATGCCTAATGGGAAAAAGATCATGGAAAGATGATGATAAAGTTTTCAAAAATATTGAAACAGAATTAACTGCAGTAGACGATTGTATTATGAAGGGACCCCGAGCTGTTATACCCCGGCGATTGAGGGAAAAAATTTTGAGTGTTATACATGCGGGTCATCAAGGAGTTACTCGTATGAAACATTGGGGAAGAGAATAGTATGGTGGCCGCGAATGAATGAGGATATTGATAAATTGGGAAAGGAATGTGAGATTTACAATGCATGGTCTGACATGCCCTGTAAGGATAAAAGTAGTACATGGCCAAAAGTTGTAGAACCAGGAGAGAGGGCTCATGTTGATTTTTTCGAATATGAAGGAAAGAAATATAAATTAAGTGTAGATGCGTTCTCCAAATGGATAGAATTTGAAGAAGTTCATGGGTTAACGGCGAATATTGTGATCAAACATTTTAAGAAACTATGGTCGAATTTTGGTATTCCGAAAACTGTGGTATCGGATGGTGGACCAGCTTTTATCGGTGAAGAATTCAAGAGATTCTGTGAGAAAACGGGTGTATATCATGTGTTAGCGCCGCCGTATCATCCCAGTTTCAATAAACCTGCGGAACGGACGGTAGCGACGGTTAAAGGATGATTGAAGAAGACAAAAGGTGGAAAAGGAGAAATATGGGTGAAGCATTTGTATAATAATAATGCGATGTGTAAAAATGGTTTGTTTCCAGCCGAAAAAATAATAGGTCGGAAAGGTAAGGATGTTTTTGGATTTGTTAATACCCAGTAAAATTACTGTAAATAGCTTTAGCTACTGGTTGCATAATCTAATTTTTTTTAATTGTAAATTATTTATAAGACATTAATTTAAATTTACACTGCAATATTTTTTAATAAAATCACGATCTTGTGATGTAAATCTACACAATTCTAATTCATCACATAATAAATCGAAATCCAAAGGCATTTCATTTATAAATGATAATATTTTAGATAAAGATGTATAAAAAGAACCCCATCTTGTTACAATGGGATATAGCAGCTGAGAATGTAATCTCTTTTTAATTTGCTCAGCTGGTGGCCCAGATTTGTTTAGTGTCCACAAACGTTGACATTTAGATATAGCAACCTTATACACTTTCCTATAATCCTCATTTTTTAAAAGTATTTTATTACATCTTGTGTTGCCACTAATTTTAATATGTGTCAGGAACATCTTCGATGACTGGGAAGGTAGTCGAAGTCATTTATATTACAATTGGTTATCCCAGAGGAAGACATTATATCTTCTAGAAATGTATTTAATATCTGAATCATTATTTTCCTCCATTAAAGAAGATGGGCAGCTAAATATTCTAAGAAAATTAAAATATAAAGTAAATTAGTTAGGCATATCGAAACGCTTTTGAAAAATTGGTAGCATTATCTGTTGTTATACATATATTTTTATTTTGAAGTGGTATTCGTATTCCTTAAAAATAGCAGTTAATGCTTAGTTGATCACGTCATATGTACGCCTACCTTGTGGTCTTTGGCAGGCTAAAATAGCTGAACAACAGACTTTTGTTCCATATAAAGATACTAGTATCAAAAAAGTGTATCATTAAATTAATTTACTTAAGATATATCCTTGTATATTTAATATTATTATGTACCACATCGCTTTCATTATCATAATCAACTAATCCGATTGGAAATTATAGTAGATGTTACATGGTATTTTTGAAATCCTCCAATATTAAAAAATAGGTTTATTTATTCCGAAGGAAATGAAAATCTATTAATTCACATTTACACAATTCAAAAAAATAAATTTAATTTAAAATAAATTTATCGCAACATATTAAAAATAAAATGAATTATTTGAATATATTATTTAGATTTATACATACATATTTTTAAAAGTAACTAGTTACTTTTT